GGAGTGCTACTAATCTCAGCTTGTTACCTGTATAAAAGTCACCTGTCCACAGAAGCAATCAATCAATCAGATTCCAAACTCTCCACCATGGCCAAGACCAAAGAGCTCTCCAAGGATGTCAGGGACAAGATTGTAGACCTACACAAGGCTGGAATGGGCTACAAGACCATCGCCAAGCAGCTTGGTGAGAAGGTGACAACAGTTGGTGCGATTATCCGCAAATGGAAGAAACACAAAATAACTGTCAATCTCCCTCGGCCTGGGGCTCCATGCAAGATCTCACCTCGTGGAGTTGCAATGATCATGAGAACGGTGAGGAATCAGCCCAGAACTACACGGGAGGATCTTGTCAATGATCTCAAGGCAGCTGGGACCATAGTAACCAAGAAAACAATTGGAAACACATTACGCCGTGAAGGACTGAAATCCTGCAGCGCCTGCAAGGTCCCCCTGCTGAAGACAGCACATATACAGGGCCATCTGAAGTTTGCCAATGAACATCTGAATGATTCAGAGGAGAACTGGGTGAAAGTGTTGTGGTCAGATGAGACCAACATGGAGCTCTTTGGCATCAACTCAACTCGCCGTGTTTGGAGGAGGAGGAATGCTGCCTATGACCCCAAGAACACCATCCCCATTGTCAAACATGGAGATGGAAACATTATGCTTTGGGGGTGCTTTTCTGCTAAGGGGACAGGACAACTTCACCGCATCAAAGGGACGATGGACGGGGCCATGTACCATCAAATCTTCACTCAGCCAGGGCATTGAAAATGGGTAGTGGATGGGTATTCCCGCATGACAATGACCCAAAACACACGGCCAAGGCAACAAAGGAGTGGCTCAAGAAGAAGCACATTAAGGTCCTGGAGTGGCCTAGCCAGTCTCCAGACCTTAATCCCATAGAAAATCTGTGGAGGGAGATGAAGGTTCGAGTTGCCAAACGTCAGCCTCGAAACCTTAATGACTTGGAGAAGATCTGCAAAGAGGAGTGGAACAAAATCCCTCCTGAGATGTGTGCAAACCTGGTGGCCAACTACAAGAAACGTCTAACCTCTGTGATTGCCAACAAGGTTTTTGCCACCAAGTACTAAGTCATATTTTGCAGAGGGGTCAAATACTTACAGTGGGGAAAAAAGAATTTAGTCAGCCACCAATTGTTTAAGATCTCCCACTTAAAAAGATGAGAGAGGCCTGTAATTTTCATCATAGGTACACATCAACTATAACAGCCAAAATGAGAAAATCACATTGTAGGATTTGTAATGAATATATTTGCAAATTATGGTGGAAAATAAGTATTTGGTCAATATAATTTTTTTCTCAATACTTTGTTATATACCCTTTGATGGCAATGACACAGGTCAAACGTTTTCTGTAAGTCTTCACAAGGTTTTCACACACTGTTGCTGGTATTTTGGCCCATTCCTCCATGCAGATCTCCTCTAGAGCAGTGATGTTTTGGGGCTGTCGCTGGGCAACACAGACTTTCAACTCCCTCCAAATATTTTCTATGGGGTTGAGATCTGGAGACTGGCTAGGCCACTCCAGGACCTTGAAATGCTTCTTACGAAGCCACTCCTTCGTTGCCCGGGCGGTGTGTTTGGGATCATTGTCATGCTGAAAGACCCAGCCACGTTTCATCTTCAATGCCCTTGCTGATGGAAGGAGGTTTTCACTCAAAATCTCACGATACATGGCCCCATTCATTCTTTCCTTTACATGGATCAGTCGTCCTGGTCCCTTTGCAGAAAAACAGCCCCAAAGCATGATGTTTCCACCCCCATGCTTCACAGTAGGTATGGTGTTCTTTGGATGCAACTCAGCATTCTTTGTCCTCCAAACACGACAAGTTGAGTTTTTACCAAAAAGTTCTATTTTGGTTTCATCTGACCATATGACATTCTCCCAATCCTCTTCTGGATCATCCAAATGCACTCTAGCAAACTTCAGACGGGCCTGGACATGTACTGGCTTAAGCAGGGGGACACGTCTGGCACTGCAGGATTTGAGTCCCTGGCGGCGTAGTGTGTTACTGATGGTAGGCTTTGTTACTTTGGTCCCAGCTCTCTGCAGGTCATTCACTAGGTCCCCCCGTGTGGTTCTGGGATTTTTGCTCACCGTTCTTGTGATCATTTTGACCCCACGGGGTGAGATCTTGCGTGGAGCCCCAGATCGAGGGAGATTATCAGTGGTCTTGTATGACTTCCATTTCCTAATAATTGCTCCCACAGTTGATTTCTTCAAACCAAGCTGCTTACCTATTACAGATTCAGTCTTCCCAGCCTGGTGCAGGTCTACAATTTTGTTTCTGGTGTCCTTTGACAGCTCTTTGGTCTTGGCCATAGTGGAGTTTGGAATGTGACTGTTTGAGGTTGTGGACAGGTGTCTTTTATCCTGATAACAAGTTCAAAAAGGTGCCATTAATACAGGTAACGAGTGGAGGACAGAGGAGCCTCTTAAAGTTACAGGTCTGTGAGAGCCAGAAATCTTGCTTGTTTGTAGGTGACCAAATACTTATTTTCAACCATAATTTGCAAATAAATTCATTAAAAATCCTACAATGTGATTTTCAGGAAAAATTTTTTCTTAATTTGTCTGTCATAGTTGACGTGTACCTATGATGAAAATTACAGGCCTCTCTCATCTTTGTAAGTGGGAGAACCTGCACAATTGGTGGCTGACTAAATACTTTTTTTTTTTCAATTTATAACATTTTTGACATGCGTTTTTCTGGATTTTGTTGTTGTTATTCTGTCTCTCACTGTTCAAATAAACCTACCATTAAAATTATAGACTGATCATGTCTTTGTCAGTGGGCAAACATAGAAAATCAGCAGGGGATCAAATACTTTTTTCCCTCACTGTATACACCTGTTCTGAAAGTCCCAAGAGTCTGCTACACAACTAAGCAAGGGGCACCACCAAGCAAGCGGCACCATGAAGACCAAGGAGCTCTCCAAACAGGTCAGGGACAAAGTTGTGGAGAAGAACAGATCAGGGTTGGGTTATAAAAAAATATCTGAAACTTTGAACATCCCATGGAGCACCATTAAATCCATTATTAAAAAATGGAAAGAATATGGCACCACAACAAACCTGCCAAGAGAGGGCCGCCCACCAAAACTCACGGACCAGGCAAGAAGGGCATTAATCAGAGAGGCAACAAAGAGACCAAAGATAACCCTGAAGGAGCTGCAAAGCTCCACAGCGGAGATTGGAGTATCTGTCCATAGGACCACTTTAAGCTGTACACTACACAGAGCTGGGCTTTACGGAAGAGTGGCCAGAAAAAAGCCATTGCTTAAAGATAAAAAATAAGCAAACCCATTTGGTGTTCGTCAAAAAGCATGTGGGAGACTCCCCAAACATATGGAAGAAGGTACTCTGGTCAGATTTTCGCTTTTGTGAGCTGGTATGTTTTCCCTGCGTGGAAATTAGTTTTTGTTTTTTCAGAGTAAAGTACGTCGTGTACTCAGTTCTGTGTCCTGTGCCTGACTCTGTCCTACCGCTGCACATTTGACATCCTGACACCCCAAACATATGGAAGAAGGTACTCTGGTCAGATGAGACTAAAATTGAGCTTTTTGGCCATCAAGGAAAACGCTATGTCCCCAACACCTCTCATCACCCGACAATACCATCCCCACAGTGAAGCATGGTGGTGGCAGCATCATGCTGTGGGGATGTTTTTCATCGGCAGGGACTGGGAAACTGGTCATCATTGAAGGAATGTTGGATGGCGCTAAATACAGGGAAATTCTTGAGGGAAACCTGTTTCAGTCTTCCAGAGATTTGAGCCTGGGACGGAGTTTCACCTTCCAGCAGGACAATAACTGCTAAAGCAACACTCGAGTGGTTTAAGGGGAAACATTTAAATGTCTTGGAATGGCCTAGTCAAAGCCCAGACATTACATTTACATTTACGTCATTTAGCAGACGCTCTTATCCAGAGCGACTTACAGTTAGTGAATACATATATATATTTTTTTTTTACTGGCCCCCCGTGGGAATCGAACCCACAACCCTGGCATTGCAAACGCCATGCTCTATCAACTGAGCTACATCCCTGCCGGCCATTCCCTCCCCTACCCTGGACAACGCTGGGCCAATTGTGCGCCGCCCATGAGTCTCCCGGTCGCGGCCGGCTGCAACAGAGCCTGGATTCGAACCAGGATCTAGTGGCACAGTTAGCACTGTGATGCAGTGCCTTAGACCACTGCGCCACTCAGGAGTGGTCGCAATCCAATTGAGAATCTGTGGTTTGACTTAAAGATTGCTGTACACCAGCGGAACCCATCCAACTTGAAGGAGCTGGAGCAGTTTTGCCTTGAAGAATGGGCAAAAATCCCAGTGACTAGATGTGCCAAGCTTATAGAGACATACCCCTAAGAGACTTGGAGCTGTAATTGCTGCAAAAGGTGGCTCTACAAAGTATTGACTTTGGCGGGGTGAATAGTTATGTATGCTCAAGTTCTTATTTTTTCTTATTTCTTGTTTGTATCACAAGAAAAAATATTTTGCATCTTCAAATTGGTAGGCATTTTGTGTAAATCAAATTATACAAACCCCCCAAAAATCAATTTTAATTCCAGGTTGTAAGGCAACAAAATAGGAAAAATGCCAAGGGGGGTGAATACTTTCGCAAGCCACTGTAAACACATCTTGACTGGTTGTGTTCATGACAAATGAAAAGGTCATTTATAAAAATGTACCATTAAATGACGTCTTTACTATTAGGCCCATAAAAAAATGTAATGCATTAGCAAGCGCGTGCACGCATAGGAGGTCCAGTCAAAAAAAATTGAGACCCCCGAATGTCATGTATAATTTGCACTCTGACATTTGCTTTAGATTTGACTTCATTCTCACTTTAGGAGTTTATCTTTAGAGGGAGCTAGGTTAAAGTGTAACAATTGACACATTTAAAAGGACACAGAGATTAGCATTTGTAGCATTGTCAGACTCTTTTATAGATTTTAGGAGATCTAAAAAACAGACAACCCCCTTTCCCCCTCCCCAAACAACTAGCGTTATACTAAGACAATGTACTTCATTAAGTAGGCAGGGACCAGTAGACACAAATTAGATTGTTATCATACATCTTCTCCTCAAATTGGGTAAATGTGATTCAAAAATTTTACTTGACTTGAATTCCTTGTAGCGATGGACTACTAAAAAGTTTTCCAACTAAAGTTTTTCTCCTGGCGAATGATACATTTCATTTCCAAGAATATACTTTATTGAAAAAGTTTTGAAAACTGCAGTAAAAAAAGCTATTGAGAATATGTGAAAAGTTACGTTTGTCAGAATGTTGCACATTTGAAACATCGAAAAGCAAAGACAAGATCAATATCTGAATGGTTAGCTAGGTAGAATAACAGACAGTCAGACAGAAAGGCAGAAAGAGAACGCAAACACACTACTGTGACATTCAGATCAGAGCTGAAATTACATCTGGTAGATAAATATCAACATTCGCAGAAATTAAGTTACAGTCAGAAAACAGCAATCACATTTTCATTTTTTTATTTTTATGTGAGCACCACAAACTCGATATCATGCAGAGGTAAATTATGAAATCTTCCTAAAAATCCTGTCGTATCACCTCAACCAATGGTCAAAGCTTCCAATAGCTTGGTTTCAAAGATTATTTTGCTACCCCTGGCTAGCTTCTAATCTTTTATCTCTAATTAACCCTCCCAAAAAACCAAATATGCATACTCTATTTACATATATTGATGGCTTTTAGTTACCTTTAGATACATGCACCAATGATTTTTGTTTTGTTTAGAAAATTGCTTTTCTGGTCTCACTAAGTTCAAGTTCTGTATGTCTACACACACATCATTTGGAGTGTAGAGCTTTTATGGGAGACCGTTCATTGACATTATCTCTGTTGTTCCTCTCTGGTTGCTGGTGCGTCTTCAGTCACCTGGTCTGTCCATGTTCATGCTCTTTGTTCCTCTGGTCTGACTCTCCTCCTGGCACCAGCTAGGAACAGAGACAACAGAAAGATCATCATACACTCAAAATCATAGAAATAAAGTTCAAGTCAATGTTCAATGATGGGTGGTCATTCTATTTCTATGGTCGCAATTACAGATCCTCATAGGATGACATTACCCATCATTTGAATCCCCCCAACACGGTCTAACATTATGTTATGTTATCAAGGAATCATGTTTTACCTGGAATTCTCCTGCCAGTTACTCGTCTCGGGTTTCCCTCTGTGAAGACAAATATAAACCTCAGTCATTATAAAACCTTTAGGAACCCAAATGTTGGTCATTATAGAACCCTACAGAACCCAAACCTCAGTCACAATAGAACCCTACTGAATCCAAACCCTAGTCACAACAGGAACCATATCTTAATCACTACAGAACCTTACAGAACCCAGTGAGGTTGAGTGGAGTTTAGATGTGTATCTTACCTTGGATGAACTTGGTGATTTTTTCAGAGTCCATGTCGAGCATTGAGGGGTTCCCCTCGATGGTGGAGATATGGGAGAAGTCAGCACCTACAGGACGGAGACAGGGATGGTACTGTATATGTCACAGATGGGAAAATTATGTATTCTAACGAAACAAGCAATTCTATTGGACAATTGACTAATTCTGCCCACTAAGCCAAATATTTTGGGTGGAAATGTGACAGTTAGTTTGAATCCTGATTGTCAGTCTCTCAACCCAGATTCCAACAGAACCTGTTTACAATTAAACATGGCATTATTTCCTCTATATTAAGTTATCTATCTACGACCAGAGGGGTAATGTTACTGACCTTCCAGCTCAATGTTGGAGATACTACTGCTGCTGGCTGAGTACTGAGGACCTGTGGATGACATCATATCGACACATTACATTAGTCTTCACATGGAAACATAATGTTTTCACAGAGTGGCAGCTGTAGGAGTCATGATCCAGGGGTGACGTACAGTAAAGGGCATTCAGTACAACACATTAACATCTGTAGACCTGTGTCTCACCTCAGCAACTCAAACACTCCCTTCTTTGTTTCATATAATGCATCAATACACCATATAGCAACAATAGACCAAAACAGGTTTATTTACATGCTGATATGTACCCAGAGTTCTTCAGACCTCATGGACAGGAGTCAAGAAAGACCTGTGTGTCTGTGAGGTACGTACCTGAGACCACTCTGGTAACTTTGGTGACCTTGGGCTCTCCCTCGATGACTCTAGTGACCTTGGTGAACTTTGGCTCGCCTTCAATGACTCTGGTCACCTAATAATCATAATCATGTATTAGATTTATGTAACGCTTTTCCCGATCCTCAAAGTGATTTGGTGGTTACATGGGTGGGTACAACGGCTGAAACATGGTTTGTTACATTGGTGTTACCTTGGTGATGGCAGGCTGTCCCTCAATCACCCTTGTCACCTTGGTGATGGTAGGTTCCCTTTCGATAACCCTAGTCACATGGGTCACATCAGGCACTTTAGAAAGAGAGAGAGGACAACAAGTTTAACAACTGGAATAAATAACAACAAAAGCATAATTGAAGAACATGAAGTTTAAAGGGCAAACTAGTAAGATCTGAAGGTCCAAATGAACTTAAAAACTCTAGACTCCATGAACTACAGACATGTAATGTGTCAGTGGTTCCTCTACTCCTTGATTAATAGAGATTGTAGTTTATGGTTTTTATCGAATTAGACTGAATGGCAACCTTTCACTGGCTCTAAAAGGACTCATATGACTGGAATATATTACATAATCAAAGACCACGTGGATATGTGCTTTGCGAATACTTTCCGAGTAAAGGCTTTCTCCAAGACATCAGTTTTCCGCTTAGAGTAGCAAATACCTTTTTCAGAATCTTGACTGGAGATAATTGCATAAACAGTAACTTGAACTTCTGTGCATATTTCTCTTTGACATCAAGAATTAACCACACAAAACATAGGTCAGGATTAAGCCCAATAAATAACGGTTATTTTACCCAGAACAGGTAGAACCTTCCCAGGTGTCTGCTACTACGGCAAGTCTTCTTTTGTTGCTGTCTGTACTGTAATTATCTGAACAGCCATAATGTTTTTTCCTCTTGGACGTGGGTCATGAATCTCATTGAAGGCCGAGATCCTCCCTATCTGAACTGTGCCAAATATTCTATCAACTCTTGTAGCACAATGTCTTCAAGTCTTTCCAAGACTAACTGTGATATATAATGTAAAATGAATATACACTGAGTGTACAAAACATTAGGAACACCTGCTCTTTCCATGACATAGACTAACAAGGTGAAACCTATGATCTCTTATTGATGTCACTTGTTAAATCCACTTCAATCAGTGTAGATGAAGTGGAGTCAACAGGTTAAATAAGCATTTTTCAGTCTTGAGGCAATTGAGACATGGATTGTGTATGTTTGCCATTCAGAGGGTGAAGGGGCAACACAAAAGATGGTATGGTAGTAGGTGCCAGGTGCACCAATTTGAGTGTGTCAAGAACTGCAACGCTGCTGGATTTTTCACGCTTAACAATTTCCCATGTGTATCAAGAATGGTCCACCACCCAAAAGACATCCAGCCAAATTGATATAACTGTGGGAAGCATTGGAGTCACCATGGGCCAGCATCCCTGTTGAACGCTTTCGACAACTTGTAGAGTTCATGCACCAATGAATTGAGGCTGTTCTGAGGGCAAAAGGGGGTGCAACTCAATATTAGGAAGGTGTTCCTAATGTTTTGTACACTCAGTGTCCTACACAATGCTAAGATTTATGCATGAAGGATGTTGCTTCGATCCTTTAACTGTAACTTACCTGACTCAATGACGCGTGTGATGGTCGTCCTCTCTGAAGGAAACAGAAGACACACAGCAGTTAGTCACTGGACAACAACAAAATTACAAATAGTTGCAATGCAAAAAGGTACAGGGGACATCTAAGACTTGGACTGATGCTGTTGTACTCACTCATGAATGTGAGGGGAATTTCCTTATAGCTGTACCCTGACACGAACTGTGAATGAATAGAAAGAAGGATTAGAGGCTGTAAACCATATTATTGTAGGTCTGTGTACACACCGTTCTGCTCAACTCCAATGCAGAGGGCAACATTGAACCTTCAGATGCACTGCCTGGGGCTCGTGAAGGAAGGAGACATATCTGCCTCTATTATGTGGTAGGTACTGTATTTGTTCAAGGCTTTACATGGTGTCTTGTCATCTTAAGGTAATTTTGTAACAAACACTTAGACGTTAATCTCATCTTGCTAGCTCAGGGTTCTCCCTAATTACATTTTAGTCATTTTCCTAATCATAAGAACATGTCTGGCCCTGTTCTGTACTGTAAGTAATGCTGTGGTTACGATAGTTATGTGGGTGTGGCCTATTGTCTTGGTTCATTATATTTGTGTGGTCTGTTCCTTTATGTGGGTGTACCTTGATCTCCATGTACTTGATGAGTCTTCTCAGCAGCCCCAGGAGGTCAGAGTTTCCAACAGGCAGCTCTACAGGACAATACATTAAAGGGTGTTAGACATACTGGTAGCACTTTACACTAGGGTACATACAGAACAGCACAGGGTGTTAGACGTACTGAACCATTGAGCACTGCTAAATATTTATAATATATCAATACATTATTCCCTGCACAGTGTGTCTCTCAACACATGACAATATAATCAGGGTATAATCAGTTTCTCCAACAGAGGAGCTGGCAGTCAGAGAGGTTTGAGTCAGTCTTACCTCCGGGGTAGAGGAGGGTTTTGACAAAGTGAATGACTCCGTTAGTGGCCATGATATCATGTTCAGGGACCTCAATAGAGTTCACTCTGATTGTGTTGTTAGCCTGAAGGAGAGGAGTAGAGAGGATTAAGATCAAAACACTGATGGGATGATAACAGACAAGACAACCACAATGAGATGAGTTATGAGTACAAGCTGGTAATGCGCCATGTGTTTCTCAAATAGGTTGGCATTGATGACATTACAGTGCATTCAGAAAGTATTCAGACCCCTTGACTTTTTCCACATTTTGTTGTGTGATTAATATTTTTTCCCCTCATCAATCTACAAAAAATACACCATAATGACAAAGCAATTCTTTTAAACAACAGAAATACCTTATTTACATAAGTATTCAGACCCTTTGCTATGAGACTTGAAATTGAGCTCAGGTGCATCCTGTTTCCACTGATCATCCTTGAGATGTTTCTGCAATTTGATTGGAGTCCACCTGTGGTAAATTCAATTGATTGGACATGATTTGGAAAGGCACACACCTGTCTATATAAGGTCCCACAGTTGACAGTGCATGCCAGAGCAAAAACCAAGCCATGAGGTCGAAGGAATTGTCCGTAGAGCTCCGAGACAGAATTGTGTCGAGGCACAGATCTGGGGAAGGGTACCAAAAAATGTCTGCAGCATTGAAGGTCCCCAATAACACAGTGGCCTCCATCATTCTTAAATGGAAGAAGTTTGGAACCACCAAGACTCTTCCTAGAGCTGACCGCCCAGCCAAACTGAGCAATCGGGGGAGAAGGGCCTTGGTCAGGGAGGTGACCAAGAACCTGATGGTCACTCTGACAGAGCTCCAGAGTTCCTCTGTGGAGATGGGAGAACCTTCCAGAAGGACAACCATCTCTGCAGCACACCACCAATCACTCCTTTATGGTAGAGTGGCCAGATGGAAGCCACTCCTCAGTAAAAGGCACATGACAGCCTGCATGGAGTTTGCCAAAAAGCACCTAAAGGACTCTCAGACCATGAGAAACAAGATTCTCTGGTCTGATAAAACCAAGATTGAACTCTTTGGCCTGAATGCCAAGCATCACGTCTGGAGGAAACCAGACACCGCTCATCACCTGGCCAATACCATCCCTACGGTGAAGCATGGTGGTGGCAGCATCATGCGGTGGGGATTTTTTTCAGCAGCAGGGATCGAGGGAAAGATGAACAGAGCAAAGTACAGAGAGATCCTTGATGAAAACCTGCTCCAGAGCGCTCAAGACCTCAGACTGTGCAGTGACGCTCCCCATCCAACCTGACAGAGCTTGAGAGGATCTGCAGAGAACAATGGGAGAAACTCCCCAAATACAGGTGTGCCAAGCTTGTAGCGTCATACCCAAGAAGATTCGAGGCTGTAATCGCTGCCAAAGGTGCTTCAACCAAGTACTGAGTAAAGGGTCTGATTACTTATGTAAATGTGATATTTCCGGGGTTTTTAAAATACATTTGCTAACATTTCTAAAACCAGTTTTTGCTTTGTCATTATGGGGTATTGTTTGTGGATTGGTGAGGAAATAAAACAATTGAATCCACTTTAGAATAAGGCTGTAACGTAACAAAATGTGGAAAAAGTGAAGGGTTCTGAATACTGTCTGAATGCACTGTATATACAGAACAATTGCAACAGTCAGTGTTGGGGAGTAGTGAACTACATGTAGTTCAACTAGTAGCTTAACTACATTTTGCAGTAACTTGGTGCTAGTTTAACTAAATTCAAAACTTGATAGTGTTTTCAGTAGTTAATTACTTTTATGCCTTGTAGCTGTGTAGCGAACTACTGGAACTACTAACACACTACTTTTTTTGCAAAAATAAAATATGGGTGAAGTAGGCAAGAATGTATTTTATTTTTTGGCATCAGACATGCCTAATTCTCACTTGAAACATTGTTTTTGTGTTTAATAGGAAAAATTAAACATGCTGTTAACATATGACCCCAAAGTGATATGTTCCTGCAATTTGTAGTCTACGACATTTCAGATTTACATATGATCATTTATCTCAAAGTAGTTTGGATATAGTGAACTACTTTTTAAAAGTAACTTTAGTTAAGTAAACTATCTTTTTTAAGGGTAGCTTTAGTGTAGCTTAACTTCGTCTGGTGTAAAGTAATTGGTAGCTGTGAAATGCAACTATCTGTAGTTGGGTAAAATGTAATCTAAACTAAATCATGAATAGGCTGCACTACAAACATCCAGGGACCTCACATGGCTTTCTGCTTTATTTTAAGAAAGGAAATGTTTTTATGATCTTAGAATATGAACCTAAGGACATTGCTGTAATAAAACTTAAAAGCTAAACATACAATTAACCCAACATTTCAATAGTAAATATCAAAGGTCAATGCAAGCCTTTGCGAAATCCCAAGTTTTGTCAGCATGAATTATGTTGGGGAAGTTGTCTCTGGGGAAGTTCATCCAATAAATACTGTTCTGGTTTCTCTTATTTTAGACTTCCTCTTTTCCCAAACATGTTTAAGTGTTATACTGTATATATAAGTTCCAAGAAGTAATAGTTAGCCATAATTCCTAGTTTAAACATTTGTTTATATTGTTGATGACAAAGGATTGTGGTTGTTAGTAATACTGAGTGGATCAGGATGAGAGGCTCTTGATTCACTGTAAACATTGTATTTTTTTCATTTTCATTTGAGTCATTTAGCAGACGCTCTTATCCAGAGCGACTTACAGTTAGTGAGTGCATACATTATTCTATTTTATATATATATTTTTTTTTACTAGCCCCCCTTGGGAATTGAACCCATAACCCTGGCGTTGCAAACACCATGCTCAACCAACTGAGCTACATCCATTCCCTCCCCTATCCTGGACGACGCTGGGCCAATTGTGCGCTGCCCCATGGGTCTCCCGGTCGCGGCCGGCTACGACAGAGCCTGGATATTGTACAATCTCTTCAGGATCTTTGTGATACATGCATGGTTTTGTTGCGGCTTTTCTGAAAACGTACATTGGAAAATGCCATGATTTCTTATATTTAAAGCCTTGTTGAGTGTTGAGAGGTTTGGACTCACATGCAGCACTCGGAGGTTGTTGCCCTGCAGAGACTTGAGGAGGTTGGTCACCCCAGTCTCCAGACCTCCGCCGATGAACACTCCGTTACTGAAGTGGTAGAGCAGGATGGTCCGCAGGGCGTTCACATTACCTGGCCAGGACAGACAGGACTTTAGACGGAAGACTATGGAACCAGAGTACGTATCGCACATACAACTACTCAAGTCTTATGGATGTTCCTTTGACATTACAACCTTTAGGAGATAGCTAGTAGCTATGGTAGCTACTGTATGGTTAAAGTCAGCACTTTTTCCTGACCACCACGATGTGGCCTGACTAGAAAAACCTCTGGCTATGATTTTTGTTAGAGAGACTGAGACAGACTAAGAGGGACGGAGAGAGAGGGAGAGTCTGAGAGACGAACCAACCTCTGAGCAGAGCCAGGTCGCTGTCGCTGATGCCAGCGAAGGCCTCATCACTGGGAGTGAACAGAGTGTATTCTCCTTCCTGTTTGAGTAGGTCAGTCAGACCAGCCGTCTCCATCAGTGACAGGAAGATCCTGCAACCAAAACATGATGAAGGAAATAGTTACCTGGCTCTCATGACAACCACTGAGGGTAGATATAACTGGTGCCAGTGTGATAGCTTAGCATATAGCGCTGCCTTCCTGAACTCGTCTCTGACTGGGCTTTAACCAAGGTTCTCTACCTCGTCAACACATGTGACTGCCTGTACGAACCGATTGAGCTATAGAAAAGGATCCTCTTCAGTGATGAGATCCTTGGTATTATTTAGATAAAAAGATAACTTGCAAGAGGTATACATGATTTGGAAAGAAGTTGGCCCACTGGTCTGTATAAACTCTTAGTACATTTCCCAGCCTGCTCCCAGGTCTGTGTGAATTTGATTGAACTCTGTTTGATTAGTGAACTCTCTCTGACTCTCTGGCTATTGGGTTTGCTAAAGAACATCCTTTCTCAAGCAGGAGTAGGGGGAGAGACAGGATTGTACTCCGAGTTTAATATACAGTATATTCATGAGTTGGCCACAAAAGTTGACCAAAATCCTTCCACTAGTCTGGTCTCAGATCTGTATGAGCTTGAGCTAACTTATCTGACTATTTCATTGGCTGAAGCACATACAGATCTGGGACCAGGATAAAGCACACACAGTCTATATGTCCCCAAGCAGCTTACTTGAATCCTCCGTTGTCAGTGAGGATCTGGAACATGGTGGTCTCAGCTGGCTTCATCAGAGTCCTCATCAGGTGGAGGGCTCCGTTACTGCCCTCCTTGCTGCCGCGCACCAGGCAGGAGTTCTCTATGCACACCGCCTACAGACAGACAGGACACAGGGTAAACAGGTTAAAGAACCACTTTAGCGAAAACTGAACTCAAAAACGGTTTTTCTGGGTTTTATCCTAATAATGTAACTCAAGTCCTAATATCCTAATTTTAGCAAAATTGACATATTTGAGCATTTTGGTATGCTAGCATAAGCACCTAACTAATTAACTAGCCAGATAGTTAGCTAGCTAGACTAATTGGTTCTCCAGCCACCTAACTTCTGTTTTGAGCATCTTTAAAACTGGAGCATCTGCTGAAGTCGCTCTTTATAAGGCATGGAAACGAACAGTCTGCTAGCTCCTGAATTAACAGACTCTTAGTCAGTCCAGCAGATGGATAGCCCAGTGAAAATGATATGTGTTGTATGGCAGACAGCCATTGTGTTTGACCAGCTGTTCAGAGACAAGAGATGGACTCGCACGCACACACGCACACGTGCACGCATGCATGCACACACCCACACATTCGTGTACTCACACAAACTCTCTCGCTCACAAACACACACACACACACACACATACTCACTGTGCGGTAGATGAAGACTCTGAGGAACTTCCCGGCGATGGTCTCCAGGCGCTGTCCATTGTACAGCTGTCCCAGAGTGATTTTCTCCTTCAGGATGTGGTTCTCCAGAATCACCTTCAGAAAGCTCTGGTCAATGGCCATCACCTCATCTGGAGGATGAGATATTTCATATAGATACATTGTAAGAGATCAAAAGATTACATTAAATCTGTTTGTAAACAATAGCTTTTTTGAAACTAGCCCCAATTCTGCAAAAATGGACCTTCACCTCCACTGGATGGATGGTATACATGGTAAATATATACATGGTAAACTTATCTTTTAAAGAAAACTGTCACGATCGTTATAATGAGTGGACCAAGGCGCAGCGTGATATGCGTACATCTTCTTTAATAGAGTATTTAGCAACACAATAACACAACAAACGATACGTGACGTCCTCGGTTAACAAAACACAAACCTACACGGAACAAGATCCCACGAATCACAAGTGCACAAAAGGCTGCCTAAGTATGGTTCTCAATCAGAGACAACAAGCAACAGCTGATTCTCGTTGCCTCTGATTGAGAACCACCCCGGCCAACATAGAAACACATAACCTGGAACAGAACATAGAAAACGAAACATAGACACTACACAAAGAAACTAACACCCTGGCTCAACATACAAGAGTCCCCAGAGCCAGGGCGTGACAAAAACCCATATGTGTAGACACCTCGTCTGGAAGGGTGATATACATGGTATATATATACAGTATGTACATGGTTAATAGCAGACTTACATAACTTACTTAACACACAATAGACTACAGCCAAATGCAGGGGATCTCGCGGTATTGGGCAAAACTCAGACGTGTACAGATCAAAAGATTACAGTAAATCTGTTTGCAAACAATAACTTTTCTAGAAACTAGCCCAGATTCGGCATAAATGTAGATCAAAGGTTTTCCCAGGACGCAGACGATAAAAAGTTAAATTGTGATTATTATCGTTATATGAGTCATAATATAGGCTAATGATGCAGTCTGGTCGTCTAGTCAGTCATTGTAAAATTTCAACCTTCTTTTCTAGGAGATCTCCTGGGTTCTGTAGCTTCCCTATAAACAGATTGATCAGCCATATTGTAACAGTGTCTGCGTCACAAATTGCACCTTATGCCCTTATTCCCATAGGGCTCTGGTCAAAAGTAGTGCACTATATAGGGAATAGTGTGCCATTTGGGATACAGTCAGTGACTGTTCCAGTCTGCATTACCCTGGGGTCGTCATACCTAATATACTGATGTCCCTTCGGGAGAAGAGCTACCTCCTCCAGAGAGGGAACTATGGCTCTAATAACAGAGGACGTTTTAACAGCTGCTGAGCTGTCTGAGATACAGAGCTGTTCTGTTCTGTACTGTACTGTACGTCGACAATGGACAAATCATGTAGAGTCTAAATCAGAGAACAATTTAGTGGAGGAATTTATGAGCTCAACGCCATAACACAGCTATTCCAGCCTGGGGGACTCTTTCCTTTCCTGCAACGTGCAGCAGGCTAGTGTATCATACTACTGATTAATATACTTTGGTTCAGTTTATCACACATGCGTTACAAATGTGTGATTAAGGTAGGAGATATTTCTCCCCACACCTTGTGAGGTCTACAATGTTCCTATACGGTGTGTGTGTGTGTGTGTGTGTGTGCGCGCAGTGGTAATTATGTATTCTTAGGGTTTGCATGGCATAAAGCTCCAGCTATGAATCATTCCGGCACTCTTCCCTCAGGAGACCCGTATACAGTATGTCTAGTATATTGCTCACTAGTGAGTCAGCATGACAACAAGACTAATGTCACAGTTTGGAGCTCAGTGTGCATTACCCACCTGCTGAGAGGAGAGAAAGAGAAAGAAGGAGAGTAGTGATAAAGTGGTGACAGAGGAGCTAGAGAGAGGAAAAGGGAGAGAGAGAGAGCGAGAGAGAGAGAGAGAGAGAGAGAGAGAGAGAGAGAGAGAGAGAGAGAGAGAGAGAGAGAGAGGAGCAAGAAAGGAAAGAGTTCAGGACGTTCAAGAGTGTTTAGGGGAACGAGGGATGTGTTACAGACAAAATTGAGCGGGGCCATGATGTGTACTCCCCAGTGAAGACAGAATTGAGCAGGGCCAGTACACTCTTAGAAAAAAGGGTTCCAAAAGAGTTCTCCCCATAGGAGAATCCTTTTTGGTTCCAGGAAGAACCCTTTTTGGTTCCAGGAAGAACCCTTTTGGGATCCATGTAGAACCCTCTGTTGAAATGGTTCTACATGGAACTCTTTTAGGTTCTAGATAGCACCCTTTTTTCTAAGAGTGTAGTGTATACTCACCAGTGAAGACAGAATTGAGCGGGGCCAGTAGTGTGTATTCTGCCTCGGCTGCCATGGCTGCAGACAGACCTAGCTCTGACACCATGTCACTGAAGGTGGACTGGGAAGGGGTGAGCAGATCCATCACCTGCTTAGCTTAGAGGACACAGACAACATTAAAAGCTTCTCTACCACTGAAAGATCAACACTTCTACACTTATTCAGAGTTTAGATTTTATCTTGGTCTTGCCGTCATTATATCATTGTTTCTATCTATTTGCTTATGTGTATGGTTGACTAGTGTAACAGCAAAGGGAGATTTAAATAAAGGTATTGTGTATTTCGTGAAACATTTTATGCTATTTACATTCCAACAAGCAAATGCAAAAACACAAACTCATGCATATTCTGAGATGTGTGTTAGGAGCACAGCTCTGTAACGAAAGCACTATACAAATTACATGTATAATTATTAGGTGGGTCGAGATGGGGGAACTAACCTGAGTCAGGCATGAGGACCTCGTCGATGAGGTGGATGACTCCATTGGTGGTGACAATGTCTTTCTTCAGCACCATCTTGATGCCGTTGACCGTCAGGCTGTTCCCGTCACAGCCAATCTCGATGTTGTGGCCTTCCAGGGTCTCAAAGGTCTGGCCGGACATGATGCCCTCTGAACACTGAACAGAGTTCAACATGTGGAAGTTCAGCAGAGCTGGAGGGAGAGGAGAGGGGAGGAGAGGAGAGGAGATGAGAGGAGAGGAGAGGAGAGGAGAGGAGAGGAGAGGAGAGGAGAGGAGAGGAGAGGAGAGGAGAGGAGAGGAGAGGAGAGGAGAGGAGAGGAGAGAGGAGAAAAGTGTCAGTCGGGCCCACACACTCAGACACTCCTACATACAGTATCCTTATTGATTAACAGCATTTTGGTTTGGTTTGGTTTACTACATTACGGACATGACTGGCCTAGCATCCGGGGAAAAGTGATATTTGTTTGACTTCATATACTGTACTAGCCAGGCGTCATTTTAATCCTCAGTAACATAATAAAAAAATCCCCATCAAAACCTGTCAGTTTAAGTTAGAGATATTTTGCATGGGCTCTGTCTCAATCTACCGCATCCGCCTATGTCGGCCATCTGCATCTGCGGTGGAAGGTGGCCGAGCTACAGCGGTGTTTGTCAGACCATGAAACATCCCGAAAATCAGTCTTCTCACGAATACGTCCCACCGGACTCGTCTGAAGTCGGTAACGCTGATCTGCCAACTTCTGTCTGTAGCGTCCGAACCATTTGGGCTACAAACTAATATGACCCCGCTGTGGAAGGGGAGACACTCGTTTTGCTCTACAACCTCCACAAGTGTCACAGGGCTCGTCTGAAGGTAACCCATACAAATGAATGGAAGTTTGGAGGTAGTTTTGTGCCAACACAAATAAAGGGTTTTAACTATGCGTCCATAAAAACAAAAATATTTCCTGAGCTTTCTTATATCTTCTAGATATAGGACAGACACTTCAAAACCTTAGTCCTTATGATTAATTTTTTTACTCTATTTTTTGGCCATTTATAAATGTGTTATTCAATGTGTTTCTATGGGCTATAGTAGTAAAGGCCAAATTCAAATCTTTTTGGGGGATACCTAAAGGGTCCTAAAATTCCAAATCAAATAGCTAAATGACCCATGAATGATCCATTAGGACTATAAAAAACTTTGAGGAAATTAGTATAGGTTTTTATACTTTCATAAGCTCTGGCACCGTTTCGGATTGTATGGGCAAATCCTTGGCTACCTAGTATTATGGCTGTATTACATTTCTGGATGAATTTGACTGAGATTTGAACATGAACATGAGAGTAGGCTAGTTGGCTGCTAGAAACAGAGGCGCCTTTGCATGGGATTATGTCATTTCCAGCATGGCTTCAGAATAGCAAATGAATCACAGGGTGCATCCCAAATTGCACCCTATTCTCCATTAAAGTTCCAATGCAGCCATTTAAATCGCAAAATCTAATAATTTCTGGGTAACAATTGAGTACCTTACTGTGATTGTTTTCAAGCTAGGACTGTCTGGGAGTGGTTTGAGTGGGGAGGGGAAAGCTGTTATTGGCAGAGAGGTTTGGAACTCTCTTTCTTATTGGTCTATTAACTAATTTATCCCATGGTGATGTCACCATGGAAGGCCAAAACTCCCTCCCACCAAAACTAGCTGAAATTTCAGGCGGTCGTTTCAAACAGCTCTAAAGGGTCAGATACATAGAGAAATCTGATTGCCGATAGGTACTTAGCACCTCTGCCCAGAGTGTCAGCAGTTAACTTTTTGTTGTTCACATAGAACAGTTTACCTTCGATTTGCTTCGTTTAAATACTCCAGGCCATAAGGTGGTAGTAGCTTGTTTGGCTCGTGCCTGCTGTAAATAATGTAAGATAACTAGCAAGCTGCGCTAATGGGTCATCACTAGTTACCACAGCCACAAAGTCATACACCCTGCCTATTTCTACAACATCTCTTCTTAAAATGTGATTTTAAACCTAAACCTAACCTTAACCCTAACCTTAACCACACTGCTAACCTTATGCCTAACCATAAACTTAAATTAAGACCAAAAAGCACATTTTTGTTTTCATAAATTTTTATGATATAGCCAATAGTAAGAACCGCACTAATGTTGCTAGCTAGAATTTGTAGTGAGCCCTTGTTGATACTAACCAGATGGCCACAACTAGATAACTGGTAGCAACATTATAATTAAATCACAATGGATTTATTTTTGAATTAAGCAGCTGCCTGTTAGCTGTCAATGCTAACCATTTAGCTAACGTTAACTAGCAAGCGAACTGGCACTGGAAGTATGGGAAAATGGAGAGTAAATACAACTATTTCTTCATCGTCTTGCTAGATAGCTAGTTTAGTAAAACATTTAGTGTTGTGCTGCATTTACCACCCCATTTGTTTCATATGAAGTGTGTGTGACTGCCTGGCTCAGTTAGCAAACTAAAGTTAGTTAGCTAGCTAACTAATGAGCAGGTGCACATTATCAAACATTATCAAACTGAACCTAACAAAAAAATCCTTCTTCAAGCACAAAACTCCTTAGCTAGAGGTAAAATATGTAAAGACTAAAAGTGTATTATCATAATTTCCACAATTTGGAAATATACACTTGTTGGCCAGTTTATTAGGTAAATGGTTTGTTCCTACAGACAGTGAGTCATGTGGCCGTGGCTTGCTATATGAAGCAGGCAGACAGGCATCCAGTAACTGTTCGTATGAACGTTAGAATGGGCAAAACGAGTGAGAATGGTGAGACAAACAAACAGGCAAATAACGGCGCAGTACAACAGCGGTGTGTAGAAAAGTATCTCGGAACGCACAACTCGGCGGTCCTTGTCACCGATGGGCTATTGCAGCAGACGACCAGACCGGGTTCCACTTCTATCAGCTTAAAACAAGAAGAAGCGGCTGCAGTGGGCACGCAATCACCAACACTGGACAATTGAGTAGTGGATTAACATTGCCTGGTCCGGCGAATCCCGGTTCCTGTTGCCTCATGCTGATGGCAAAGTCAGGATTTGGCGTAAGCAGCATGAGTCCATGGCCCCATCCTGCCTGGTGTCAACGATACAGGCTGGTGGCGGTAGTGTAATGGTGTGGGGAATGTTTTCCTGGCACACGTTATGTCCCTTGATACGAATTGATCAACTTTTCCATGCCAGAATAATTATTGCTGTTCTGGAGGCAAAGGGGGGTCCGACCTGGTAATAGATGGGTGTAGCTAATAAACTGGCCACTAAGTATATGTAAAACACAGGAAAATCCTGTTTTTGACTGCACAGGGCCTTTATGTGCTCAACTTTTGACCAGATCCCTATGGGCCCTGGTCAAAAGTAGTGCACTAAATAGGGAATCAAGTGCCATATGCGACGCAGCCTATGAAACTCGGAGACCTGGAGATCCCTTAGATCCCTTGGGTCCTGGTGTTGGGAGACTAGTGAGTGCAGGGAGACTCATTACTTTTTTACTGCCATATTTGACTCTGTTTGACTGTGTGTGAAGTGGCGTGATCTCACAGCTCAGGGAAGTCTCAGGATTAATAAAGAAATTAGGGATCATCACACCACTGCCAACCCTCCTAATGCTCTGAACCTTCTGAACCTTTCCAGTCCCAACCCTTTGACTGGGATGTGTCCCAAAATGGCACCCTATTCCCTATATAGTGCACTACTTTTGGCCAGAGCCGTATGAGGTATGGAACGTAGGGAATAGGGTGCCATTTGGGACACAGACAGAGCCAGCTGCTTTCTGCTTCCTGCCCTGTGGTGTTTAGCACCGGATGAACGACACCTCTTGGGAAATGTTTTTGAACAAGTTAGAGTGTTTTATTATTGTGTGCCACCCAGACATAAATTATAGCGTGACAGTAAATGTTTAGATTGTAAACATGTCAAATTATCAAAAAGCTTCACCATATGAAAGTGTATGTCTGAATAGCCATTATTTCGTAGACCATATTTTATCCAACATCTGAAACAAGTGCTCTTTTCTTTTTCATTACTCACTTACACAACTGTGGTGAACGCTCAGTTTGCCAACTGTCTGAGAATTACAAATCCACAGCTCAGACTGTAACTAGTTGGCTCCATCTGTTTTGAGTAGGAAAAAGCGCTTACATGTAAAAACTCTGCGGTTACTCAGCCCTGCAAACATGGCGAGCGAGAACCATTGAGTTACTTTCCTGCACCTTCATCTCATTAAACACGGATATGGTCTGAGTTTGGAGATCTATATAAAGTCTCTATGTCTCCCCTCTGCTTTAAAGTACTCTCCTGTGAGCTGCTGTCTGTATTTCTAGAAGGCATTCCAGAGAGGTGATGGAGCGCTGAAGCCTGGCCCAGCGGTTTGGTTTACCTTGGAGGACACCCTTGTCACCCATCAGTCGTTGCAGCACGTCTGAGTCCAGCTTGGCAAAGGCATCGTTGGTGGGGGCAAACAGGGTGTACTGGCCGGGCTGTCCCAGCTTGTCCAGCAGGCCTGAGGCCAGAGCAACCTCCTGTAGGGAGAAAACACATCATATCCTCCATCATATGCTCCATTAATACTGTGTGAATATATACATCGAATAGAATAGAATAAAAAAGACGAGACGAGAAGGGGAAATGAGAAAAGAGGAAAAATGATACAGAAGAAAAGGTAGGAAAGGAAAGGAAAGGAAAGGTAGGAAAGGAAAGGAAAGGTAGGAAAGGAAAGGAGGAAAGTGGAAAGGAAGGAAAGGAAAGGTAAGGAAAGGAAAGGAAAGGAAAGGAAAGGAAAGGTAGGAAAGGAAAGGTAGGAAAGGAAAGGAAAGGAAAGGGATAAAAAGAGAAGAGAAGAGACAAGACGGGACGAGAAGAGAACAGAAGAAAATAAAATACTTACACTGAGAGTGGTGAGGTCATCGTCAACCTCGATGACATCCTGGATGGTGTTGCCCACGGCAGTGATGACACGGTCGATGACGTGCACCACTCCATTGGTGGCAACCTGGTTGCCATGGATAATCCTGGCACAGTTCACCGTCACGATCTTCATACATAACAACACACCACATAGGACATGCACAGCACAGTCAGTATCTACACACAACACACAACAGTATACCGTTCTTAACTCTCCAATGTGCACACAACACAGCCTTCAACAACTAACTACCTGCACACAATAAAGTCTTAGCTTTCCATGACGGCAACTTTCCTATCTCATGGCATAGAAACCATGGTCAAAATTAGTGCACTACAAAGGGAGTAGGGTGCCATTTGGGATGCAGAAAAGTTGATGTTGTGTAGGTCTAGTAGGATGCTCACCCCGTTGGAGTAGTGGTTGATGTAGAGTCCCAGGTCGTTGTACATGGAGTCGACCACCAGGCCGTTCTTCAGGTCTTTGGTCAGCAGGCGTTTGTTAGCCATGTGGTAGTGCAGAGCGTTGTACAGCTCAATGTTCACGTTACTCACCAACGCACTACGCACTTCCTGTTAAAGAAATGCAGAATAGAAAGGCTTAAGATAACATAAATACTTAACATAAAGTGATGACAAAGACTTACAGCAACAGACTGTAGGGTTCAGGTCAATGCCACACATTCTTGTGTTTTATGTTGTTGCTCTTTTAAATGGTCACATTACAAGCACAAAATGGTTTTGGGCACTGAAAAAACCTACTACTATCGCTGGTGGATTCAACTGATTGTCTGAATTACCTGGAATTTTCCAGATGTGAGAGATGACACTTACAGTGAGGGAAAAAAGTATTTGATCCCCTGCTGATTTTGTACGTTTGCCCACTGACAAAGACATGATCAGTCTATAATTTTAATGGTAGGTTTATTTGAACAGTGAGAGACAGAATAACAAAAAAATTATCCAGAAAAACACATGTCAAAAATGTTATAAATTGATTTGCATTTTAATGAGGGAAATAAGTATTTGACCCCTCTGTAAAACATGACTTAGTACTTGGTGGCAAAACCCTTGTTGGCAATCACAGATGTCAGACGTTTCTTGTAGTTGGCCACCAGGTTTGCACATATCTCAGGAGGGATTTTGTTCCACTCCTCATTGCAGATCATTGCAGATCATTGCAGAAGTCATTAAGGTTTCGAGGCTGACGTTTGGCAACTCGAACCTTCAGCTCCCTCCACAGATTTTCTATGGGATTAAGATCTGGAGACTGGCTAGGCCACTCCAGGACCTTAATGTGCTTCTTCTTGAGCCACTCCTTTATTGCCTTGGCCGTGTGTTTTGGGTCATTGTCATGCTGGAATACCCATCCACGACCCATTTTCAATGCCCTGGCTGAGGGAAGGAGGTTCTCACCCAAGATTTGACGGTACATGGCCCCGTCCATCGTCCCTTTGATGCGGTGAAGTTGTCCTGTCCCCTTAGCAGAAAAACACCCCCAAAGCATAATGTTTCCACCTCCATGTTTGACGGTGGGGATGGTGTTCTTGGGGTCATAGGCAGCATTCCTCCTCCTCCAAACACGGCGAGTTAGGTTGATGCCAAAGAGCTCCATTTTGGTCTCATCTGACCACAACACTTTCACACAGTTCTCCTCTGAATCATTCAGGTGTTCATTGGCAAACTTCAGACGGCCCTGTATATGTGCTTCCTTGAGCAGGGGGACCTTGCGGGGGCTGCAGGATTTCAGTCCTTCACGGCGTAGTGTGTTACCAATTGTTTTCTTGGTGACTATGGTCCCAGCTGCCTTGAGATCATTGACAAGATCCTCCCGTGTAGTTCTGGGCTGATTCCTCACCGTTCTCATGATCATTACAACTCCACAAGGTGAGATCTTGCATGGAGCCCCAGGCCGAGGGAGATTATTTTGTGTTTCTTCCATTTGCGAATAATCGCACCAACTGTTGTCACCTTCTCACCAAGCTGCTTGGCGATGGTCTTGTTGCCCATTCCAGACTTGTGTAGGTCTACAATCTTGTCCCTGACATCCTTGGAGAGCTCTTTGGTCTTGGCCATGGTGGAGAGTTTGGAATCTGATTGATTGATTGCTTCTGTGGACAGGTGTCTTTTATACAGGTAACAAGCTAAGATTAGGAGCACTCCCTTTAAGAGTGTGCTCTTAATCTCAGCTCGTTACCTGTATAAAAGACACCTGGGAGCCAGAAATCTTTCTGATTGAGAGTGGGTCAAATACTTATTTCCCTCATTAAAATGCAAATCAATTTATAACATTTTTGACATGCTTTTTTTCTCTCACTGTTCAAATAAACCTACCATTAAAATTATAGACTGATAATTTTTTTGTCAGTGGGCAAACGTACAAAATCAGCAGGGGATCAAATACTTTTTTCCCTCACTGTATCCTGACTTACCCCATCTAACAAGTCCCAGGCATCGTTGCTGGGAGCAAAGAAGGTGTATGACCCAGATCCCTCTATCTCCTCCCTCAGCTTAGAGATGTGAGAGTATTCCTGGGTGGAGATGGCCTTGACCAGGCCCAAGGTAGCATACACATTGTCTATAGGGGCCACTGTGGAACGAGAAGGTACCATAATGACTACATCCCCCTACATACCGGGTTAATCCCAAATGGCATCCTATACCCAATATAGTGCACTACTTTTGATCAGAGCCCTAAAGTAGTGCAGTACATATGGAATAGGGTGCCATTTGGGACGCACACAAGTCTCATTAAAACAACTCTAACGAACCCCAAAGACAGCTGGATGAAGCTAAAAGGAAACATGCATGGGTGGGATGATGTGCCAGCTGAATCTTTATGTTGGTGTGGCGTTGTGACTCTTGAATTTAATGAGAAAACGTAATACCCCTTGGTATGTCTTCATTTAATCTCTTGTTTAATCTTTGAAGTACACTATAACATTAAGTGCACTACAAACTTGAGTACACTGCATATCCTGTACCTTATAACATTACATATGCTGTAACCAACTGTAGCTACATACCTGCAGGGCATCCTTTCATTCCTTCCAGCTTCATGTACCCTGGACAGCACTCATACAGCACTGTCCTATAGACAGAGAGACAAAGATAGACCAAGTTCAGAGAAATAGACAATGCACCACAGACAGATCACGTATAAACAGATCACTCATACAGCACCGTCCTACAGACATAGAGACACAGACACGTCATGTTTAGGGACAGATCACTCATACAGCACCGTCCTACAGACATAGAGACACAGACACGTCATGTTTAGGGACAGATCACTCATACAGCACCGTCCTACAGACATAGAGACACAGACACGTCATGTTTAGGGACAGATCACTCATACAGCACCGTCCTACAGACATAGAGACACAGACACGTCATGTTTAGGGACAGATCACTCATACAGCACCGTCCTACAGACATAGAGACACAGACACGTCATGTTTAGGGACAGATCACTCATACAGCACCATCCTACAGACATAGAGACACAGACATGTCATGTTTAGGGACAGATCACTCATACAGCATTGTCCTACAGACAACACAGGGACACACACGTTAGAGACAGAGAGGAGGGAGAGATGGAGACATCCCACACAGATCACGCTTTAGAGACAGAGATGACACACAGACACAGACAGACGGACAGGTCACGAGCTAGACACAGAGACATACCCTATATTCTGTTTGAATATTCAGAGTCTGGGTACATAAACAGTGATCACCACATCCCATGTAATTACAGTGTTCTAGAAGGTCTTTCAGTACAACAGAGCACATCGTATATTTATCCTGGAGTTCATCCTTGTATATTTCAGCTGAATCATCACTAATGTCTTTACTGAAAGAACGTTTCATGCTCCTGTGTGTGTGTGTGTGTTCAGTTGTTTCCACATGGTCCTCATTATCTGTTTTATTACCCATAAGGCCATGTGGTCCCAGGGCCCAGGCCAGCACGCCTCCAGGGTAACGCTACCACATGGTATACATACATAAACTATGTCTGCCTCCCGAATGGCACCCTATTCCATATATAATGCACTTTGTAGGGAATAGGGTGCCATTTACCAAGGACCTTGCCCCTTTGAAGCTACACAATTAGTCAAGCCTTCTAGTCCATGATTCAGCCTTGGTTAACCTCTAAGACATTATGTTTTGGGTCTTGAAGTAGCGTGTTGCAATCAAATCCGTAAGCAGTCGGAAACCTCGGTTAGGAAATGGAACTTTTCAACTCCTGTATTTACCACAAACTGTTAAATGGGCTGTGTGGAAACTGTAACAGACTAGCTCATTAGAAATTACTTGGCGGGGGAATGATGGGAGGAAATGGCACTGTAATCTTTCATCTAAATCAAACGGCTTTTAACAGCAATCGTAATCACAGACACAAACACAGAACAGGCCTCATTAGGTTTTCAGAGGCTCTTTGATTAAACTTCATGACATTACAAACCAGCTAACGACAAGCATTCCCACAACTTTAGGTCATTAACTAACATTTTCATAGGAATGTTCCCATGATATGCAAGGAATGTTTCCAAGAGACCATTGCCTTAAACCTCTAGAGCAGCGTTTCCAAACTCGGACCTCGGGACCCCAAGGGGTGCACGTTTTGGTTTTTGCCCTAACACTACACAGCTGATTCAAATGCTCAAAAACCAAAACGTGCACCCCTTGGTGTCCCAAGGACAGAGGTTGTTCTGAATTGTCTGTCCTATATCTGAGAGATACAGTACAAGAAAGATCAGGGAACTATATTTTTTTGACATGTATTTAACCCCTTATTTTAGGCACTAAACTATCTCCATATATATACTGAACAAAAATATAAATGCAACATTCAACAGTTTCAAAGACTTTACTGAGTTACAGTTCATATAAGGAAATCAGTCAATTTAAATTAATTCATTAGGCCCTAATCTATGGATTTCACATGACTGGGAATATAAAGTTGAAGTCGGAAGTTTACATACACTTAGGTTGGAGTCATTAAAACTCGTTTTTCAACCACTCCACAAATTCCTTGTTAACAAACTATAGTTTTGGCAAGTCGGTTAGGACATCTACTTTGTGCAGGACACAAGTACATTTTCCAACAATTGTTTACAGACAGATTATTTCACTTATAATTCACTGTATCACAATTCCAGGGGGTCAGAAGTTTACATACATTTAAGTTGACTGTGCCTTTAAACAGCTTGGAAAATTCCAGAAAATGATGTCATGGCTTTAGAAGCTTCTGATAGGCTAATTGACATAATTTGAGCCAATTGGAGGTGTACCTGTGGATGTATTTCAAGGCCTACCTTCAAACTCAGTGCCTCTTTGCTTGACATCATGGGAAAATCTAAATAAATCAGCTAAGAAAAAAATGTGTAGACCTCCACAAGTCTGGTTCATCCTGGTTCATCCAATTTTGAAACGCCTGAAGGTACTACGTTCATCTGTACAAACAATAGTACACAAGTATAAACACCATGGGACCATGCAGCCATCATACCGCTCAGGAAGGAGACGCATTCTGTCTCCTAGAGACTAACGTACTTTGGTGCGGAAAGTGCAAATCAATCCCAGAACAACAGCAAAAGACCTTGTGAAGATGCTGGAGGAAACAGGTACAAAAGTATCTATATCCACAGTAAAACAAGTCCTATATCGACATAACCTAAAAGGCCGCTCAGCAAGTAAGAAGCCACTGCTCCAAAACCGCCATAAAAAAGCCATACTATGGTTTGCAACAAAGATCGTACTTTTTGGAGAAATGTCCTCTGGTCTGATGAAACAAAAATATAACTGTTTGGCCATAATGACCATTGTTATGTTTGGAGGAAAAAGGGGGTTGCTTGCAAGCCGAAGAACACCATCCCAACCGTGAAGCATCATGCTGTGGGGGTGCTTTGCTGCAGGAGGGACTGGTGCACTTCACAAAATAGATGGCATCAAGAGGAAGAAAAATGATGTGGATATATTGAAGCAACATCTCAAGACATCAGTCAGGAAGTAAAAGCTTGGTCGCAAATGGATGTTCCAAATGGACAATGACCCCAAGCATACTTCCAAAGTTGTGGCAAAATGGCTTAAGGACAACAAAGTCAAGGTTTTGGAGTGGTCATCACAAAGCCCTGACCTCAATCCTATAGAAAATTAGTGGGCAGAACTGAAAAAGCGTGTGCGAGCTAGGAGGCCTACAAACCTGACTCAGTTACACCAGCTCTGTCAGGAGGAATTCACCCAACTTATTGTGGGAAGCTTGTGGAAGGCTACCCGAAACGTTTGACCCAAGTTAAACAATTGAAAGGCAATGCTACCAAATACTAATTTAGTGTATGTAAACTTCTGACCCACTGGGAATGTGATGAAATAAATAAAAGCTGAAATAAATAATTCTCTCTGCTATTATTCTGACATTTCACATTCTTAAAATAAAGTGGTGATCCTAACTGACCTAAGACAGGGAATTTTTACTAGGATTAAATGTCAGTAATTGTGAAAAACTGAGTTTAAATATATTTGGCTAAGGTGTATGTAATCTTCAACTGTAGATATGCATCTGTTGGTCACAGATACCTTCAAAAAAGGTAGGTGCGTGGATCAGAGCATCCCAAACAAGCTCAATGGGTTACATGTCTGGTGAATATGCAGACCATGGAAGAACTGGGACATTGTCAGCTGCCAGGAATTGTGTACAGATCCTTGCGACATGGGGCCGTGCATTATCATGCTGAAACATGAGGTGATGGCGGCGGATGAATGGCACGACAATGGGCCTCAGGATCTCGTCACGGTATCTCTGTGCATTCAATTTGCCCTCGATAAAATGCAATTGTGTTCGTTGTCTGTAGCTTATGCCTGTCCATACCACAACCCCACCGCCACCATGGGGCACTCTGTTCACAACGTTGACATCAGCAAACCGCTCGCCCTCACAACGCCATACACATGGTCTACGGTTGTGAAGCCGGTTGGACGAATTGCCAAATTCTCTAAAATGAAGTTGGAGGCGGCTTATGGTAGAGAAATTAACATTCAATTATCTGGCAACATCTCTGGTAGACATTCCTGCAGTCAGCATGCCAATTGCACACTCCCTCAAAACTTGAGACATCTGTGGCATTGTGTTGTGTGACAAAACTGCACGTTTTAGAGTGGCCTTTTATTGTCCCCAGTACAAGGTGCACTTGTGTAATGATCATGCTGTTTAATCAGCTCCTTGATATGCCACACCTGTCAGGTGGATGGATTATCTTGGCAAAGGAGAAATTAACAGGGATGTAAACAAATTTGTGCACAACATTTTAGAGAAATAAAATGGGATCTTTTATTTCAGCTCATGAAACACGGGACCAACACTTTACATGTTGTGTTTATATTTTTGTTCAGTGTATTTCCATTCATTTTATTAACTGGTACTGGGGACCTTCAGATGAGGCTTGTGGGCATCCTACAGCAAAACAATCGACATGTATGTGTTCGTGAGAGACACATATTAGTGTGTAGCCCAAACTGTTCGGACGCTACAGACAGAAGTTGTCAGAAGAGGCTGTACCGATTTCAGACGAGTCCCTTGATGCTTGTCGTTGAGCAAAACGGAGAACACCATCGTGAGAGTCTTTCCACAGAGGGGTAGGCCAAAACGTTCGGACGCTTTAGACGTTTTTGTGATAAGACCTATTTTCGGGATGTCGTATGGTCTGACAAACATCGCTCTAGCTCTGCCAGGGAGATATCGGTGGATGCGGTGGATTGAGACGCAGCCCATGCAAAAAAACAGATATCTCTACCTTCTTAAAAAAACGGTTCCAGAAGGGTTCTTCAGATGTCCCCATAGGAGAACCCTTTTTGGTTCCAGGTAGAAACGTTTTGGGTTACATGTAGAACCCTCTGTTGAAAGGGTTCAACATGGAACCCAAAAGGGTTCTGCCTGGAACCAAAATGGGTTCTTCAAAGGGTTCTCCTATGGGGACAGCCAAAGAACCATTTTAGGTTCTAGATAGCACTTTTTTTCTAAGAGTATAGCTTAAACAGATGGATTTGTAAAAAAATAAGTCAAATAAACTTGGTATGTTTGGGGGGACGTTTGGGGGGACGTTGATGGAATAATCTCCTAACCCACAGAAAACTGGACATGTGAATGTTCTTGCAACTTTCCCATGAAACATGTCTAGAACATTAATATCTTATATTCGGAGAACATGGCAACCATGTTCTGTGTATGTTTGGTGGGACGTTGATGGAACATTCTCCTAACACAAAAACAAATGGACATATTAATGTTCTTGCAACATCCTGTGAATCGTGTCTAGAACATTATCATTGTACATTCTGAGAACATGGTAACCACGTTATAGGTATTTTCTTTTTGACATTAAGGGAATGCTCTCCTAACACTTTACACCAAAACATGCTAAAAATGTTCTCAGAAGGTTTTTGCTAGCATAGATAGACCGTTCCCCTAACTAATGGAAAACTGGACACTCAAACATTATGGGAACATTACGGGTAACATTACAAAACCCTTTTCTCTCCCTATAATTGTTAGCTGGGAAACTGTTTAACATCATCATGTATCTGTATGACACCTCTGTAGTACACATGAACTGTATCAAAACTGATGCTTTCAGATCTGGGTTGTGTCCCAAAAGGCACCCTATTCCCTTCATAGTGCATTACTTTTGACCTGAGCCCTATGGGCCCTGTTCAAAAGTAGTGCACTATAAAGGGTAATAGGAAGCCAAATGGGACATATCCCATGTATTCTTATGACACTGCACATGGACTGTATCAAATTCTGATGTTTAGTAATCTCATCCACTCAGACAGCTGTTAGATGTTTTGAGACTTGTACCAACATGTGAAGTGAAGTCCTGTTTATTCTGATTGAATGGAAACAGGACAGGACACAGTAGCTATACATTACTACAAAGAATTATTAAGATATGAAGATGGGGAAATCCAACCTGCAGCTGTTAGCTATATAAATGGCCTTACCCTGTAGATCAGCATGTCTGAGCATGTGTGTGCGTGTTCATGGGTGTGTGTCTGTGAGAGAGAGTGTGTGTGTGTGTCTGTGTGTGTGTGTGTGTGTGTGTGTGTGTTTGTGCACGCTTTGAGCGTGAGTGAGAGTTACAGTACAGTGAAAGTCTGATTTATCCACTCTGAAAAACCCCAGAGGCCCCGTAACTACTCTCCATCTCTCTCTTTAGTGGTAATCAGCTCCCCTATAGCTATTAAAACTCTAAACAGTACCACATGGGCACCAAGTTGGCATCAGAGTTTAATTAATTATAAGCAGAGTCCTTCCAGCTCTGTTTGTTTTAATAGACAAAAACTAAAGAAGGACACTATCTGAGTCCTAAATTTCACCCTACTCTATATATTGTGCCCTATTTTTGACCAGAGCCCTATGGGCACTGATCAAAAGTAGTGCACTATAAAGGGAAAAGGGTGCCATTTGGGAAGCAGCTTAGAACCACCTAGCTAGTCCATTTCATAATCCCACACCTCATAAACCATGACATGACTCGTTAAAGCAGAACAATGATGCTTCAATTTGTGCAGAGCCAGAGGTATTGTTGAGAGAGGAGAACTCACAGACCTTGCTTTATGATATGCCAGTAAATGCCACAGGGTGTATTCCACTGTTTAAGAAGAAGAAATGACTAAAATGTAAAATGTAAGTAAGCCTTTTCTGAGCCAGAGGCAGACGTGAGGCAGCTTGATGTACAAGTACACCCCTGGACAGCATGCTATTCCACTGTTTTCGTCTGCAGAAATTCTAAACAGTACAACAAACCAGCAAATGCTGAATATACAAATAACAATGATACATGAAGTAGGCTATAGTAGGAAATAGATGTCCAGTTTGATGTTGACCAGACCTTACATGGTTGTGAAACTGAAATGTCAGATCTCTGGAGAAAGCTTTATGCTGTATGAACCCTCCCACTGGGCAAACACTGGTTGAATCAACGCTGTTTCCAAGTTATTTTAACAAAATTAGACGTTGAATTGATGTCTGTGCCCAGTGAGCTCACCCTGCATGATGCTGAACCTAGATAACTCACTAATTCATGTCTGGATGATGGTAGGGAGTTTAGTTTCTTTTCTCCAGAGTAATGGTTTTTGAGTAATGGTTGCTTGTTGCTCAGTCTGTTGCTCATTCTGGTGGCTTGGAACTTTAGTCCAGCTGTGCTTCTTCATCAGTGGTCCCACTGGGACGTCTGCAAACCAGAAAAACATTTCCACATGTTCTCCAGTGTTCCAGTGGTAGCTGGGTCCATAATAGGACAAGACAGCCTTGTCTAAATCAACAGAGTTTGAGTGGAGAGAGAGGGGGTCGAGGGCAGGATGGAGTGAGGTTTACAGTGGCTTGTTTCCTTCATAGAGACAGACGATGAGACTACAGTGTGGTGGGTTGTTCAGAGCTGTCATCCACGGCTCATCCCTCAGACAGACATGCACGCAAGCACTCACACACGCACTCACGCACTCATGCTCTCACGCACACACAAAGCTATCGTCCCTCAGTAAGAGTCAGCAGACAGAAACAGAGCAGGTCAAGGCCTGCCGTACGAGGAGAGGGGCTACGTCCCAAATGGCACCCTATTTTCTATATAATGCACCACTTTGACCAGGACCCATAGGGCTCTGGTCAAAAGTATTGCACTATATAGGACAGAGGTATTCAACTCTGACCCTATGAGGTCCGGAGCCTGCTGGTTTTCTGTTCTACCTGATAATTAATTGCATCCACCTGGTGTCCAAGGTCTAAATCAGTCCCTGATTAGAGGGCAACTATGAAAAAACGCAGTGGAACTGGCTTCGAGGTCCAGAGTTGAGTTTGAGGGAATAGGGTGCCAATAGGGACACAAATGAGGAGAGGAGAGGAGAGGAGAGGTCATGGCTCATGGCTCATGGCTCATGGCTCATGGCTCATGGCTCATGGCTCATGGCTCATGGCTCATGGCTCATGGCTGACTGCCATAGTTGCCTTCTTTTGAACTTAGCCCCTGGAAACACAGAGAAGAGGAGAGGAGGAGTGGGGGGATGAGCCAGGCATGAGATCACACATGCCCTGATGAGGCACAGTCAGCAAAACCATCTCCACTCTCCCACGCACATACAGGAGACCCAAGACTCCCTCTGGCCTGGCCCCGGGGTTGGAAACTTCCCTCTGTCTGGTCAGCAGCTCTACTTTAGACTGGAGATCTCTGTATGTCAGCCAGCTAAACCAATACTACTGTAGTATTGGCATGTGGTCAATGGAGAAAACTGTGCTGTTTCCAATAAACACATCATTACTAATGATGTGGCCTATCATTATGTAATCCGTACCTTGTGCAGTGTCAGTTGTTTTGGTTGTTTTTTGTGAGGGGTTTTCTATCCAGCATTATCCATTAGGTTGCTGCAGGTAGACAATGCTAGGAAATGTTCTTTAATTGAAACAAGCTGTCTCCAATCAATCAATCAATCGATGTCTGGTTGTGGTGAGTGTTTGGTGGGGGGATCGCCTAAGTCAGGAGACGTAGCTCTACGAATCTTAATTGCACAAAGCCTATTATTTGGCAGGGAATGCTATTAGTAGATCAGTGATTCTGCACCTCACTTTGCTCTAGCTGATCCTCTCCAACAGACTCGGAAGTTGTAGCATAAAATGGGTCAATTAGGGGCAGTTTAAGGGGACAGTCAATGAAACCAACCATGGAAGATTGTTGTAGCAAATTCAGAGGGTAGCCCCGACTGGGACTCGAATCCTGATCCAGTGAATGTCAAGCCAACACATTAACTGTTACACCAAGAGGTTTGGACCTGTTGGTGTAATGGTTAAGGTGTTGGCTTGACAGTCGTTGGACCCGGGTTCGACAAAGCCTATTATTTGGCAGGGAATACTATTTGTAGATCAGTGATTCTACACATCACTTTGCTCAAGCTGATCCTCCTTTTTTTTAAAGAACACAATGTTCTGTGCACCCTGATGGTGGTGCCTTGGCATGGATACTGTGGTTTGATTGATTCCATAGAATAATATGACAGACAAATTCCTCATCAACATAGATCACATTCCTTAGCTGTGTATCAGTGTTCTATGTTGCAGAGCATAACTGGAATAGAACACTACTAAGCATCCAAGAACATAGCTAGCATAGAACACTATTGCGACTCAGCATCCAATAGCATAGCTACGTATAACACTTCTCAGCATCCAAGAGCATAGAACACTATTCAGCATACACAAACATAGAACACTATTTAGCATCCAAGAACATAGAACACTACTCAGCATCCAAGAACATATAACACTACTCAGCAACCAATTAAATAGACCTCTACTCAGCATTCAAGAGCATAGAACACTACTCAGCTTCCAGGAGAATAGAACACTACTCAGCATCCAGGAGCATAGAACACTACTCAGCATCCAGGAGAAAAGACCTCTACTCAGCATCCAGGAGCAGAGCTAACATAGAACACTACTCAGCATCCAAAAACATAGAACACTACTCAGCATCCAGGAGTATAGAACACTACTTAGCATCCAGGAGCATAGAATACTACTCAGGATCCAGGAGCATAGAACACTACTCTGCATCCAGGAGCATAGCTAGCATAGAACACTACTCAGCATAAAAAAACATAGAACACTACGCAGCATCCAGGAGCATAGCTAGCATAGAACACTACTCAGCATCCAGGAGCATAGCTAGCATAGAACACTACTTAGCATCAAAAAACATAGAACACTACGCAGCATCCAGGAGCATAGCTAGCATAGAACACTACTCATCATCCAAGAGCATAGCTAGCTAGCATAGAACACTACTCAGCATCCAAGAGCATAGCTAGCATAGAACACTACTCAGCATCCAAAAACATAGAACACTACTCAGCATCCATGAGCATAGCTAGCATAGAACACTACTCATCATCCAAGAGCATAGCTAGCACATGAGTCCAGCATGGATCAGAAAGTCAATAAGAGAGCTGGAACCATGGGAGCCATTCTGTTCTTTGAAGTACCATGTGGTTGTTATACTATGTGGTTGTACTGCGTGTCTGTTTGTGTGAGCAGCAATATGTGGGAAACCTCTCTGTACTATGTGGGCTCTGTCCTCTTTGTCTGTACTCAGAGAGTTTCCACTGTATCAACCTCCAACCAGTAAATATGGCTGACACACTGCTGCCCTATCAGAGCCAGGATCCAGCGGTGCACCACTGTGGCGTCCCTACATGCGACCACACTCACCATACCATAATAACCATCATAACCATAGTAACCAGGACCTTTATAATGCATGGGATTGTGCATTGATGTTTCATGCAAGAGTTGAAGGCTTGCTTAGGTATAATCTTAAATCTTTTTCCTTTGACGTTCATTTCTAAACCCTCTGAACTCCTCTCCTTCAGAGTAGTCTTTGTTTCCCAACATACCCTAGATGAAGAGAAGGTATTTGATGGTCCGTCATCCTCCTAGATTAATCTTGAGTGCTGTTCATTTTTATGTTAATTAAACCTATCCTTCTCAACTACTCTCTCTCTCAAGTTCAAGTTCAGGCATATTTCCTTTAAAGGTCTCTTTGTTTCTCAACATGGATGAAAATGAGAGGGTATTAGATGGTAGGTCATCCTTCTACGTTAGACATTCCTCTGATGTTAGTGGCAAAATGAGTCAAAGATAACACAGACCTTTGTTATATTCCCTAAAACTCCATCTGCGTCCCAAATGGCACCCTATTCTCTATATAATGTACTACTATTGGCCCTGGTCAAAAGTAGTGCACTATATAGGAAATAGGGTGCCATTTGGGACATATCCTCAAACTCCCTGACCTCAAACTCCTCAAACTCTACACACATACCATAACACATACCCTGTATAATCCAACCATAACACATACCCCGTATAATCCGTACATACACAGCCCTGTGTATTCCGTGACCATAACCCTGCCGTATAATCCTGTACCATTTGACACATTACCGTGGATAATCCGTACCATAACCATCCCCGTCATAATCTGTCCTAATAACACATACCTGTATAACCACTACTATGAACCAACCCTATACCCCCATGACCTATCAAAAGCTCAGAAAGGCCAATAAGTGCTGTTACACACCCTGATTCCAATGAGGCTAAATGTCTCACCTACCTCAGTGTTGACCCCATTCTATTTGACCCAGGGAGGTCTGGGAAGCCCCAAAAAACAACTCACTTCGCTTCTCCACATGCCTGATACTTAACGTGTGACACATCTTTGTCCTGAGAGGCACGTGTTACGTGCCAGAAAAGAAACAATTTAATGCAACCCACCATGAATTAAGTTATCATGCATATATGTAATAATTATGATGTTGTTGTTTTATGTTATTTATTGTAATTATTGTTGTTTCTGAGGTTATGTGGGCCATATGAGTTTCCATGGCACTAGGGATCATCCTATGTCCATTTGGACATTTATGTGTGGCACATGGGACTACATCATTCCTTGGTCCATGTCTTTGTCCCTAATAGCACCCTATTCCTTGTATAGTGCACTACTTTTGACCAGAGCCCTATGACCCCCTATGGACTCTGGTCAAAAGTAGTGCAATATATAGGGAATAGGGTGCCATTTGGGACACATCTCTGTGGTCTATACATAGGTCCCTATCAAAGCTCTCACCCTAAACCTAGCAGTGTCATATTATTCATCTTTGAACCCAGAGGAAAGAATGTGTCCTAGAGGAGCCCCCCCCAAAAAAACTAAAGTCACTTACGCTTTCTTTCCACAGATGGCCCCTTGATACCAATTACGACACGTGCTGAAGTACTTCTTCTTGGTCCCCATGACCTGCTGCAGAGCGCACACGTTAGGTCTAACAGTCGCCAAGGAAACAGAGGAGACAGATGGTTAAATGAACACAGTTGGAATAGCTAAAGTGTTCTGCATGCAGTATAACGTAATAAATACTGCATGTCTGTTTGATCTCTTATCGTTATTTCACATTCACAGTATATTTCACTTTTGTTATTTCAGTTTTGTCCATTTGGTAATATTTGCTTTCATAAACATTTATCTGACATAGCACGTTCTTTATATTAGCTCTTAAATGTAGTTTAGTGAACTTTAAAGAATGGTCAATTTAGCAATTATGAAATAATCATATTCAGAATTAAAGTCTCTGATAGAATTTGTTTCCGGAAATTACCATAAAAGCAGAAAAAGAGTGGTGTTTCAACTCAGCAAAAGTTTGGATTAAAAACAACTTTTACATGACACATTTGTAGAGACTGTGTATGCATCAGCATAAATCAGTGAATGCAGAGCAAGTCCTTCAGATGATAATAATAATAATAATAATAATAATAATAATAACTATAATAATTATAATAACAATAATAATAACAATACTACTACAATTACTACTACTGATAATAATAACAATAATAACAATAATAATTTTAAATAATAAACATACCCCTCTTTTCTTGCCCTGACTTTACTGTGGTAGACTATCTTATCATAAGAAGAGGAGTCTGCCATGTCAAAGTTAGACAGGACAAACACAGCAAAGAGAGCTGCAAACAGGATCTTCATGATGATATCCCAGGAAGCTCCTCCAGATACACAGAAACACAGAGAAATGGGAGCAGGCTGGGGAGAGGGAACTTATATAGTAGGAGAAACTCACTAGGATGGCTGGTTGAGGAACAAAGAGGGAGGAATGCAACACACCAAAGCCAGACCCACGCCTGGACCACCCGGCACACCTCCAAGACCATGTTCCTCACTCTACACTAAAACTGTGTGGTGAGACATGCTACTGTACGGGGAAATAGTTGTAGGATTAATGGAAGATATTGTCATCATTGAGATTGTTATTTAGTAATCATTTTGATACTGATAATTTGCTCCCACTTCAGATTCTGTTAAGATTACGTTTACATTTAAGGAAAAATCACAAAGAACTCACAAGACAAGATCATACATATGGTATTTCTTTATGCTATGGAAAATACATGCCTGTACAAAGCACACTGGAATGTAGAAGCCAGAACATACATCCACCGTTCCTGTCGGAAAACAAGTAGCTAGACAGAGAGGTTTCCTGTTCTTTCCTGTTCTAGACAGACAAGTTCCAGACAGACATGGTACCATATTGCAGTATTAGTCACCACTGTGAACAGGCAGGCACCACTGGAGGCTGTAAGTCATTTCTATTCAGAACCAAGCTGGGCTCCAGATTCAGAAAGCCACAAACACACTCCAGATGGACCTACAGGAGCTGTGTCCTCCAGTGCCAGTCACTAATCTGTATGTCAATTCCCAATTATTAAACCACACAAACAAAACTCACACACTCAGAGGTAGGAGTGAAGTGGTCTGTCAGAAGGAACAGTTTGGGTTTATCCCCACCTAGTGGACTGAGGGGAGTGTGACATAGAGGAGGCTATGACTATTGGAGAGGATAGGAGCAGTACACAGTACACACACCAGAAACTGCACAGTACACAGTACACACACCAGGAAAACTACACAGTACACAGTACGCACACCAGAAACTACACAGTACACAGTACACACACCATAAACTACACAGTACACAGTACACACAACATAATCTACACAGTACACAGTACACACACACCAGAAACTACACAGTACACAGTACACACACCAGAAACTACACAGTACACAGTACACACACCAGAAACTACACAGTACACACACCAGAAACTGCACAGTACACAGTACACACACCAGAAACGACACAGTACACAGTACACACACCAGAAACTACACAGTACACAGTACACACAACAGAAACTACACAGTACACAGTACACACAACAGAAACTACACAGTACACAGTACACACAACAGAAACTACACAGTACACGTCCCCTGAACCCTAACCCTTACAGCTAATGACACATGCTGGAGAATGCATTTCTTTTCAGCCCATAGTCCAAAGCCAGGGTTTCCCAACTCCAGTCGCTGTCATTGTCAAGCCAAACATAACAATGAGTGAAAAATAATTTGCATGAGAGAACCACAGACTGGCAGTCAGGCTAAGGGTCCCACCACATTCATGGTGACAATCTACAATCAATTCACTCTACAATCCATAATTAAGTATTTCCACTAGCCAGAGGAACCAGGCAATCTCCCGTTGCAGCATGTCCCTGTTAGATGAGAGAATAATGAGACTGTTTTAACACCCAGACTGGTTAACACTTTTAACACATGCAGTGTGACTTTTCACTGTAAAGGCTACAGACTGCTGGAACACTGAGTGACTGGGGAGAGGAGCAGCCGGAAAGATGGGCTATGTCTGACTCTGAAATGGTACCTTATTCCCTATAAAGTGCACTACTTTTGACCAGAGCCAATAGTGAGACGGGGCAACGGGGGCTCGAGCCCCGGCTCAGCCGTCTGTCTGTGCCCTTAAATCCTTTATGTCTATCTCCCAAACTGTACCTATTCGTCCTATTATAAAAACTATTTAAAATATATGTACGAGGATTGTGGAAAAAATTGTACAAAAAAAGGTTTTGTTTACGACTTTCAAAAGGTATCTCAGCCAAGCGAGGGTTCCTCTGTGTGACCTTAACAAGTCTGAAGTAGCAGTGAATTACCTTCATTATAGAAAAGGATTCTTCAAATTCATGTTACCATGGAGACAGAGATCTAATGAGTAGATGAGACACTCCAGCAGGCCTGTAGGTGTGAAGCTGAGAATATCCATGGAAGTGCAGAAAGCTGTATGAGGAACAGTGACATTGTGATATGGTGATATGTATGTGAGAAATGCTCACTGTCTGTTGAAAGGATGGTGATACTGACTTCAAATCATTTATGTTAAAAACATATTATGTTTATTGATTCATGTTGTATAGCCAAAAATGAAATACAATAAAAATACATTAGCACTCCCTCAGAAATGATACATATCTAATTAATTTGCATAATCAGAATAACAGAATACAATGCAATATTTCACATGTGAATGCAGTATTACAGTGGGGAAAAAAAGTATTTAGTCAGCCACCAATTGTGCAAGTTCTCCCACTTAAAAAGATGAGAGAGGCCTGTAATTTTCATCATAGGTACACGTCAACTATGACAGACAAATTGAGAAAAAAAAATCCAGAAAATCACATTGTAGGATTTTTTATGAATTTATTTGCAAATTATGGTGGAAAATAAGTATTTGGTCACCTACAAACAAGCAAGATTTCTGGCTCTCACAGACCTGTAACTTCTTCTTTAAGAGGCTCCTCTGTCCTCCACTCGTTACCTGTATTAATGGCACTTGAACTTGTTATCAGTATAAAAGACACCTGTCCACAACCTCAAACAGTCACACTCCAAATTCCACTATGGCCAAGACCAAAGAGCTGTCAAAGGACACCAGAAACAAAATTGTAGACCTGCACCAGGCTGGGAAGACTGAATCTGCAATAGGGAAGCAGCTTGGTTTGAAGAAATCAACTGTGGGAGCAATTATTAGGAAATGGAAGACATACAAGACCACTGATAATCTCCCTCGATCTGGGGCTCCACGCAAGATCTCACCCCGTGGGGTCAAAATGATCACAAGAACGGTGAGCAAAAATCCCAGAACCACACGGGGGGACCCAGTGAATGACCTGCAGAGAGCTGGGACCAAAGTAACAAAGCCTACCATCAGTAAAACACTACGCCGCCAGGGACTCAAATACTGCAGTGCCAGACGTGTCCCCCTGCTTAAGCCAGTACATGTCCAGGCCCGTCTGAAGTTTTCTAGAGTGCATTTGGATGATCCAGAAGAGGATTGGGAGAATGTCATATGGTCAGATGAAACCAAAATAGAACTTTTTGGTAAAAACTCAACTCGTCGTGTTTGGAGGACAAAGAATGCTGAGTTGCATCCAAAGAACACTATACCTACTGTGAAGCATGGGGGTGGAAACATCATGCTTTGGGGCTGTTTTTCTGCAAAGGGACCAGGACGACTGATCCGTGTAAAGGAAAGAATGAATGGGGCCATGTATCGTGAGATTTTGAGTAAAAACCTCCTTCCATCAGCAAGGGCATTGAAGATGAAACGTGGCTGGGTCTTTCAGCATGACAATGATCCCAAACACACCGCCCGGGCAACGAAGGAGTGGCTTCGTAAGAAGCATTTCAAGGTCCTGGAGTGGCCTAGCCAGTCTCCAGATCTCAACCCCATAGAAAATCTTTGGAGGAAGTTGAAAGTCTGTGTTGCCCAGCGACAGCCCCAAAACATCACTGCTCTAGAGGAGATCTGCATGGAGGAATGGGCCAAAATACCAGCAACAGTGTGTGAAAACCTTGTGAAGACTTACAGAAAACGTTTGACCTGTGTCATTACCAACAAAGGGTATATAACAAAGTATTGAGAAACTTTTGTTATTGACCAAATACTTATTTTCCACCATAATTTGCAAATAAATTCATTAAAAAACCTACAATGTGATTTTCTGGATTTTTTTTCTCATTTCGTCTGTCATAGTTGACGTGTACCTATGATGAAAATTACAGGCCTCTCTCATCTTTTTAAGTGGGAGAACTTGCACAATTGGTGGCTGACTAAATACTATTTTCCCCCACTGTATGTCAATAAGGTTAACAATGGGATGCTGAGAGTCCCAGAATCTTACCTTAAAGGGCAAATCTGGGATTCGAAAAACAACAAAGGGGTAACCCCGCCACTTGTTTTGGTAAACACCACTTGTTGAAAAAAAACACTCTCAAATTCATAAACAGAGTGATAAAAATCCCCCCAAAATATGCACAAATGAATGTACCAATCTCAGATTGCCCCTTTAAGGTTAACAATGGGATGCTAGGAGCTGAGATAGTATTCAGTGCTACTGTCAGTATTGAGTATAGCATCATTTAGTAAGAACGTGGGGAATTCCTCACAAAAAGCTAAGGAATTGTATTTCACATGCTAAGCTAGGTCAACATTCAGTTATAGGGGAGAGTTGGGTAAGTTGAGCCATTTTTTCCATTCAGTATCACTCCATCAAGGTAAATATAGTATTATATCTAACAAAGATATCTACATTATTTCAGGATGTTGTGTATCCCTGGAAATAATCAGAATTCATGTAAACATTACAGTTTTAAAACATAGCTTGTCAGGGACTGGCACAACTTACACCAGGTATGGGGTAAATTGAACCGTGGGACAGGGTAAGTTAAGCCGCCTTCAAATTTCTGTACTGAATGAAATATTACCACTACCTTTTTGAAACAATGTCTATCTTTAACACAATTACAATCGCTTTTTTGTCTTTAAATAATTTTAAACATATTTTAACACAGACTTAACACCTAACAAAGACTGTACTTTGGTCCTCTGTAGCTCAGCTGGTAGAGCACGGCGCTTGTAACGCCAAGGTAGTGGGTTCGATCCCCGGGACCACCCATACACAAAAATGTATGCACGCACGACTGTAAGTCGCTTTGGATAAAAGCGTCTGCTAAATGGCATATTATTATTATTATTATTATTTAAACATTAAAAAAATTGGCCAGTCCCTGTTGTTACCTCCTATCCCAGCGATAATACCTTGCATTACGCCTGGGAAGAAAACATTTCAATTTGCTCAACTTGCCATTGGCTCAACATACCCCATGGTCATTGGCTTAACTTACCCCAAGGCAAACATTTTGACTATTAGCCCACACAGCTACTAGGATGCACTTAACCTCAACTGATGTACTGTACAGAGCAATCTTAAAATCATCTACTTTGGTTTAGATACAAGCATCACGAAACCTCTAACACAATAAATTAATTTGACTTGGTGAAAATCCGTTATTATTATTTTTATTTTGGGGTTTCTTCCTTCACAGACTCCATGAAATGACCTCTTCCTAAATATTTGGTCAAATGATAAATTTTGTGTATAGTTCCCCAGAAACAAGGGTGGCTCAACTTACCCCACTCTCCCCTACATGTACAGTATAGCATCTCTTTAGAGGCCCAACTTCTGGTGGTTGCAGAGACCAATCCTGGATTTACAGCTGCAGTTGCAGACAGGGCACATGAAAGCTTGGTTGGAGGGGGCAGGAGTAGCCCTGCGAAGACCTGCATACTTTGTCTCAAGGTGTTGCTCCATAGGGCTCTGGTCAAAAGTAGTGCACTATATAGTAGTCTCTTATGACCGAAAATAGCTTTTGGATATCAGGACAGCGATTACTCACCTCGTACTGGATGAAGATTTTTTCTTTAACGAGTCGGACACGAAGGATCTTCTTCTCCACCCGACAAGGTCCAAATCCCCATCATTCGCATGAGAAAGAGATGGAGATATTGGGGACGTAGGTCGGGTTGCCTTGTAAGGATCCGACGGCGAGTGGGTAATCTGCCTCTACCATCAGTCCTATTAGCCAACGTACAATCATTGGATAAAAGAAATAGACGAACTACGATCACGGATATCCTCCCAACGGGACATTAAAAACTGTAATATCTTATGTTTCACCGAGTCGTGGCTGAATGACGACATGCATAACATACAGCTGGTGGGATATACGCTGCATCGGCAAGATAGAACAGCTGCCTCCGGTAAAACAAGGGGTGGCGGTCTGTGTATATTTGTAAACAACAGCTGGTGCATGAAATCTAATATTAAGGAAGTCTCGAGGTCAATAAAGAAGTGGTCAGATGACGCAGATGCTAAGCTACAGGACTGTTTTGCTAGCACAGACTGGAATATGTTCCGGGATAATTCCGATGGTATTGAGGTGTACACCACATCAGTCATTGGCTTCATCAATAAGTGCATCGATGATGTCCTCCCCACAGTGACCGTACTTACATACCCCAACCAGAAGCAATGGATTACAGGCAACATCCGCACTGAGCTAAAGGGTAGAGCTGCCGCTTTTTTCGACTCTAACACGGACGCTTATAAGAAATCCCGCTCTGCCCTCCGACAAACCATCAAAGGCAAAGCGTCAGTACAGGACTAAGATTGAATCATACTACACCGGCTCCGGCGCTCATCGGATGTGACAGGGCTTGCAAACTATTACAGACTACAAAGGGAAGCACAGCCGCGAACTGTGAACAGTGAAACGAGCCTACCAGACGAGCTAAATTACTTCCATGCTCGCCTCGAGGCAAGCAACACTGAATCATGCATGAGAGAATCAGCTGTTCCGGACGACTATGTGATCACGCTCTCCATAGCCGATGTGAGTAACACCTTTAAACAGGTCAACATTCCGACGGATTACCAGGACTTGTACTCCGAGCATGCGCTGACCAACTGGCAAGTGTCTTCACTGACATTTTCAACCTGTCTTTAATACCAACATGTTTCAAGCAGACCACCATAGTCCCTGTGCCCAAGAACACTAAGGTAACCTGCCTAAATGACTACCGACCCGTAGCACTCACGTCTGTAGTCATGAAGTGCTTTGAAAGGCTGGTCATGGCTCACATCAACACCATTATCCCAGAAACCCTAGACCCACTCCAATTTGCATACCGCCCCAACAGATCCACAGATGATGCAATCTCTATTGAAATCCACACTGCCCTTTCCCACCTGGACAAAAGGAACACCTACGTGAGAATGCTATTCATTGACTACAGCTTAGCGTTCAACACCATAGTGCCCTCAAAGCTCATCACTAAGCTAAGGACCCTGGGACTAAACACCTCCCTCTGCAACTGTATCCTGGACTTCCTGACGGGCCGCCCCCAGGTGGTAAGGGTAGGTAACAGCACATCTGCCACGCTGATCCTCAACACAGGGGCCCCTCAGGGGTGCGTGCTCAGTCCCCTGAGGGGTGAATACATATGCACGTACCACTTTTCCGTTATTAATTTTTTTCATTTCACTTCACCAATCTGGACTATTTTGTGTATGTCCATTACATGAAATCCAAATAAAAATCAATTTAAATTACAGGTTGTAATGCAACAAAATAGGAAAAACGCCAAGGGGGATGAAGACTTTTTCAAGGAACTCTCCTCGCTACTCGCTACTGTTATTTTACTATTTTTATTTTTTAGTTATCAATTTTTTACTTAACACATATTTGTCTTAAAACTGCATTTTTGGTTAAGGGCTTGTAAGTAAGCATTTCATTGTAAGGTCTACATCTGTTGTATTCTGCACTATTCACACATATAATTTGATTTGATTTGATTTGATATAGGAAATAGGGTGCTATTTGGGACTCACACGAGAGGATAGACTAGACAGCATCATTCAAACCAGTTTTGAATAATTCGCCAAGGTGTGACATTGTACAGATCTACCTGTAAGAAGCATTAGCTTTTTCCATTATGCATTATGACAAGGGATCGTTGTGCAAATAGCAGGGGGCTGACTGGGGGAAGCAGCAGAGACAGGGCCTGTTAATAAAATACTAACAGTTCTATCACGTATAGTGTTGCAAAACTCTGGTAACTTCCCCAAATTCCCAGGTTTTCCAGAAATCCTGGTCGGAGATTGACGTCTTATCTTCTTGTTCCATATGACACCCTATTCCCTATACAGTGCGCAATTTTTGACCAGAGCCCTATGTCCACTGGTCAAATGTAGTGCACTATATAGAGAATAGGGTGCTATTTGAGACACAGCCCAAGAAACAGACTTCTTGTCTCCTGTTCTCCAGCTTATACATTCTGTCTTATAGACCAGAATATATTAGTCTGAGAGCTGAATTGGTTCTGTAGACGCAAGGCAAGCTACTACACAGGCCTCCATGAAGACGCATCATAATGATACATTAAAATAGTTTGTGGTCTTTTGAACAGCATTCACCCTATAGTCCTTCTACGCAGCAGTCTCATCCTCAACAGTCTGTTTTAACATTGACTCTTCTCTCCCTTCACTCTCCCCTCCTCTTCATTCTCTTCCTTCTCTGTACATGTCCTCTCCCTCGCTCCACCCTGCTCCTCCCTCTCTCCAATACAGTCCAGCTCCTCCAGGTCAGCCTCTCCCATCTCCTCAGACACAGAGTAGAGCCCAAAGTCACAGCTGTCTTTGGGAAAGTCTTTCCTGGCCAGTCTGTCTTTGGTGGAGGGAGTGGAAGAGGAAGAGGAGATGGCGGTGGAGGAGGTGTCAGTGGAGGCCAGAGAGGGTACCACAGAGCCGTTGACCAGTCGGTTCAAGCCCTGAGAGGTGGAAGGGGATGTGGAGGAGGAGGTGAAGGAGGGGGCTGCCCTCTGCTGGAGCATGGATTTAGTGACGTGAAACATGTTGGTCTTAGGCATGGCCGGGGGGAACTTGGGGGAGTATTTGAAGGAGTGGTCAGGGTAGACCAGACTGGAGGCCCCTGCCCCTTCACTGGGTTTACTTCCCGCTAGAGCCACGCCCCCACTCCCGGGCCCCACCTTCCCCTTCATCATCCCCAGGACCTCATACCTAAAGCTGGAGATGTCCTGCTTCAGCTCCTGGGGAAAGAAACATACACACATACAACTTGTTTATCTATTTATGACATTTCCAGTGGACAGTGCACGTTAATCAACATTAATTGCCGAAGTTAGAAACAATGCTTATTTTTTGTCTGTGTCCCTGTCTGGTGCTGGATAGAGAAACAAATGTAAAGAAATGTGAAATGTCAGAGCAAACCAAACCTTACCTTAAAGTTCTCCTCAGTCAGTCCTTCCTCTGTCTTGGCATCTCTGATCATGGCTGCTACATATCTCTTCACCAGGTTCCTCAAAACCTCCTGAAAACAACACAGTCCACAGGTTGATAGAATCATATCAAATACATCCACTCCTGGGTTACTAACAACTTCTGGAGATAATATGGAAAACATAATCCTGAGAGTGGACAGGTAGAGGGATGCGTCCCAAATGGCATCCTATTCCCTATATACTGTAGTGCACTACTTTTGACCAGGGCCATAGAGCTCTGGTCAAAAGTAGTGCATTATATTGTGAATAGGGTGCCATTTGGGAAAAATCGAGTTCAAAATATGTGCATCTACGGAATGAAACACATTGAAAACTGACACATAACGAATGACAAGTAATCCATTTTATAGTGAAAAAACAAACACATAAATAAATACCTGATACTGGTGGTTTATTCTTACGTTTATAGCAGCCCGTCTCTACAAAAGAGGAACATTAATTTACTACAAAAGCACACCAGGCAGCATGACTAATCAGTTAATGTGATTTACTGCTTGGTGGAGACTTGGCCAGCTAGCTCTGTCATCACCTGCCCATTCTCTGTTAAAAGGATCGTTTTGTGAGCCAATGCTAACTAGCTGTACACAAGTATTTTTCGCTAAGCTAGCGCATATGCTAGTTAGCATTGGCTTGCGAAACTACTTCCTTCATACTGGACGCAGAGATAGAAAAATGGTTCATTGCCAAAATCCCGAACTATCCCTTTAACTTCTAACTGCTGATGCTTTCAGTCCAGTTATGTCTCATGATGCACGTCTAACCATTCTGGGAAGAACAGGTAATTTCATTCATGATAATTCATTGAGAACAACCCTCTGAGGCTAGAGGAGAAGAGAAGAAGTAGAAGTTTCAACCGTAAACTGTTCAGTAGAGTTGCAGAATTCCAGTAACTTTCCCAAAATTCCCAGGTCTTCCAGAAATCCCAGTTGGAAGATTCCCAGAATCAGAGGGGAATAAACAAGAAATCCAGGAATCATCCAACCAATTACTTAAATTTTACAGCCCTACTGTTCAGTAAAAGTATTGTTGATGTAGACTAGAGACTTAATCCTCACCCCTATCGTTCCAAATGTTTCTGTTTTCTTGGCCCTGGTGATCTTGAAGATGTGTTTCCTGATCCAGCAGATGAAGTACCAGATTGACTTGGGGCTAGGGATGATGTTGAATGGAGAAGGCAGAGTCCCTCCCTCTTCAAAGTAACTCATCCACAACTTGGTTCTTGCAAACTTCCACTCAATGTCTGCATGATCCTGAACAGAAACAACATATGCTAAGCATCTGAACAAGTGATATGAACAAAACTTTGTGATATAAATTACTGCAGACAGGTTGTTGGGCTCACAAACAAACAAGTGAATGAATGAATGATTTAGCTTTCCAGTGATAGTTTAAGACTCACAGCGATGTGTTGGTAGGAGTTGTTCATCATGGCGATCAGCATGTTGAGTAGAACCACCAGAGAGATGACATTATAGGTTCCAAACATGGTGGCCCCTATAAACTCTGTGAACTGGTGGTCTGCCTCCACGTTGGTCACATACAGACTGATCAACCCAAAGACAGACCAGAACAAAGACTGGAGCGTCTCAAACAACCTAGAGGAGAAAGATAGAGAGATGAGAGAGAAAGAAAGAGATGAGAGGGAGAGGGAGATGAGTGAAAGGGATGAAAGAGAGAGAAAGCGAGTGAAAGTGATGAAAGAGCGAGAGAGAGAGAGAGAGACAGAGAGAGAGAGAGAGAAAGGGATGAAAGAGAGAGCGAGAGAGAGAGAGATAAAAGGGAGAGGGGGTTATATTTCTAAATATATAAGGTAAGCAGGATCTACAAGAATAGTCAAGATATCATAAAAGGCTGCCATTCTACTTTTGCCCTAATCCAGGCAATTGGCAAAACATACGTATCCGTCTAAACGATAAAAATGTAAGGTTGCAAAATTCCAGTAACTTTCCCCAAATTCCAGAAATTCCTGGGTTTCCTGCTAATTGCCTAATGATTCCGGGAATTCTGGGAAAGTTAACAAAGTTTTTTAACCCTACCAAAACTTAAACATGTTACAAACGAACACATTATAATGCATGGTCTTTACTAACGTTGAAAAAGCGTTGTTCTGTGTTTCGCAGCGGATGCCCTTGCATCCCTTCAGGCCCTTGTCTGTCTCGTAGTAGAAGTAGAGCTGGTTGAGCCCGTTAGCGAAGGCCAGGAGCACCAGGCAGTAGATAAACAGGAATTTAAGGATGTCCAGCAGCATCCTGCCCAGAGAGATCTGGAATAATGAGGATTATCATCATATTCATCATCATCATCATCATAAACTAGAACCTTTCATACAATAAATTGCAGCTTTACAGATCATGGGTCATAAGTATCAATCTTCTCAGAGTAGGATTGCTGATCTAGGATCAGGTCCTCCCCTGACCATGTAATATTTTTCCTTTAAATAAAAGGAAAAACTGATCCTAAATTAGCAGTCCTACCCTAAGACCCTTAATACATACTGCCCCTGGACATAATGACAGAAACATAGTATTAAATTACAAATCATGTAAACGTAGTATGATAATCCTGACCTGTAGAGGTCCCAGGTGTGAGTTAGCTGTAAACAGAGAGATGAGGCGGAGGGAGCTGAAGATGTTAGCGATGGCAAACACAGCTTCTGCTACCAGGGTAGGATGCCACATCTGCCATTCGTTCCTGGCCCTGAAGCCGCTGTACTGTGGGAGAGAGGGAGAGACAGAGAGGGGACAGGTCAGAGTCTACTGTGGGAGAGAGGGAGAGACAGCGAGGGGGCAGGTCAGAGTCTACTGTGGGAGAGCGGGAGAGACAGAGAGGGGACAGGTCAGAGTCTACTGTGGGAGAGATGGAGAGATGGCGAGGGGACAGGTCAGAGTCTACTGTGGGAGAGAGGGAGAGACGGAGAGGGGACAGGTCAGAGTCTACTGTGGGAGAGAGGGAGAGACAGCGAGGGGACAGGTCAGAGTCTACTGTGGGAGAGAGGGAGAGACGGAGAGGGGACAGGTCAGAGTCTACTGTGGGAGAGAGGGAGAGACCGCGAGGGGACAGGTCAGAGTCTACTGTGGGAGAGAGGGAGAGACGGAGAGGGGACAGGTCAGAGTCCACTGTGGGAGAGATGGAGAGACAGCGAAGGGACAGATCAGAGTCTACTGTGGGAGAGAGGGCGAGACGGAGAGGGGACAGGTCAGAGTCCACTGTGGGAGAGATGGAGAGACGGAGAGGGGACAGGTCAGAGTCTACTGTGGGAGAGATGGAGAGACGGAGAGGGGACAGGTCAGAGTCTACTGTGGGAGAGAGGGAGAGATGGAGAGGGGACAGGTCAGAGTCTACTGTGGGAGAGATGGAGAGACAGCGAGGGGACAGCTCAGAGTCTACTGTGGGAGAGAGAGAGAGACGGAGAGAGGACAGGTCAGAGTCTACTGTGGGATAGATGGAGAGACAGCGAGGGGACAGGTCAGAGTCCACTGTGGGAGAGAGGGAGAGACGGAGAGGGGACAGGTCAGTCTACTGTGGGAGAGATGGAGAGACAGCGAGGGGACAGGTCAGAGTCCACTGTGGGAGAGATGGAGAGACGGAGAGGGGACAGGTCAGAGTCTACTGTGGGAGAGATGGAGAGATGGAGAGGGGACAGGTCAGAGTCTACTTTGGGAGAGATGGAGAGACGGAGAGGGGACAGGTCAGAGTCTACTGTGGGAGAGAGGGAGAGACGGAGAGGGGACAGGTCAGAGTCTACTGTGGGAGAGATGGAGAGACAGCGAGGGGACAGCTCAGAGTCTACTGTGGGAGAGAGAGAGAGACGGAGAGGGGACAGGTCAGAGTCTACTGTGGGATAGATGGAGAGACAGCGAGGGGACAGGTCAGAGTCCACTGTGGGAGAGAGGGAGAGACGGAGAGGGGACAGGTCAGAGTCTACTGTGGGAGAGATGGAGAGACAGCGAGGGGACAGGTCAGAGTCCACTGTGGGAGAGATGGAGAGACGGAGAGGGGACAGGTCAGAGTCCACTGTGGGAGAGATGGAGAGACGGCGAGGGGACAGGTCAGAGTCTACTGTGGGAGAGAGGGAGAGACGGAGAGGGGACAGGTCAGAGTCTACTGTGGGAGAGATGGAGAGACAGCGAGGGGACATGTCAGAGTCTACTGTGGGAGAGAGGGAGAGACCGCGAGGGGACAGGTCAGAGTCTACTGTGGGAGAGAGGGAGAGACGGAGAGGGGACAGGTCAGAGTCTACTGTGGGAGAGATGGAGAGACAGCGAGGGGACAGGTCAGAGTCTACTGTGGGAGAGATGGAGAGACAGCGAGGGGACAGGTCAGAGTCTACTGTGGGAGAGAGGGAGAGACCGCGAGGGGGACAGGTCAGAGTCTACTGTGGGAGAGAGGGAGAGACGGAGAGGGGACAGGTCAGAGTCTACTGTGGGAGAGATGGAGAGACAGCGAGGGGACAGGTCAGAGTCCACTGTGGGAGAGATGGAGAGACGGAGAGGGGACAGGTCAGAGTCCACTGTGGGAGAGATGGGGAGATGGCGAGATGACAGGTCAGAGTCTAATGAGGGAGAGAGGGAGAGACGGAGAGGGGACAGGTCAGAGTCTACTGTGGGAGAGAGGGAGAGACAGAGAGGGGACAGGTCAGAGTCTACTGTGGGAGAGAGGGAGAGACCGCGAGGGGACAGGTCAGAGTCTACTGTGGGAGAGAGGGAGAGACGGAGAGGGGACAGGTCAGAGTCCACTGTGGGAGAGATGGAGAGACAGCGAAGGGACAGATCAGAGTCGACTGTGGGAGAGAGGGCGAGACGGAGAGGGGACAGGTCAGAGTCCACTGTGGGAGAGATGGAGAGACGGAGAGGGGACAGGTCAGAGTCTACTGTGGGAGAGATGGAGAGATGGAGAGGGGACAGGTCAGAGTCTACTTTGGGAGAGATGGAGAGACGGAGAGGGGACAGGTCAGAGTCTACTGTGGGAGAGAGGGAGAGACGGAGAGGGGACAGGTCAGAGTCTACTGTGGGAGAGATGGAGAGACAGCGAGGGGACAGCTCAGTCTACTGTGGGAGAGAGAGAGAGACGGAGAGGGGACAGGTCAGAGTCTACTGTGGGATAGATGGAGAGACAGCGAGGGGACAGGTCAGAGTCCACTGTGGGAGAGAGGGAGAGACGGAGAGGGGACAGGTCAGAGTCTACTGTGGGAGAGATGGAGAGACAGCGAGGGGACAGGTCAGAGTCCACTGTGGGAGAGATGGAGAGACGGAGAGGGGACAGGTCAGAGTCCACTGTGGGAGAGATGGAGAGACGGTGAGGGTGACAGGTCAGAGTCTACTGTGGGAGAGAGGGAGAGACGGAGAGGGGACAGGTCAGAGTCTACTGTGGGAGAGATGGAGAGACAGCGAGGGGACAGGTCAGAGTCTACTGTGGGAGAGATGGGGAGATGGCGAGATGACAGGTCAGAGTCTAATGTGGGAGAGAGGGAGAGACGGAGAGGGGACAGGTCAGAGTCTACTGTGGGAGAGATGGAGAGACAGAGAGGGGACAGGTCAGAGTCTACTGTGGGAGAGATGGAGAGACAGAGAGGGGACAGGTCAGAGTCTACTGTGGGAGAGAGGGAGAGACGGAGAGGGGACAGGTCAGAGTCTACTGTGGGAGAGAGGGAGAGACGGAGAGACGGAGAGGAGACAGGTCAGAGTCTACTGTGGGAGAGAGGGAGAGACGGAGAGGGGACTGGTCAGAGTCTACTGTGGGAGAGAGGGAGATACGGAGAGACGGAGAGGAGACAGGTCAGAGTCTACTGTGGGAGAGAGGGAGAGACGGAGAGGGGACAGGTCCGAGTCTACTGTGGGAGAAATGGAGAGACAGAGAGGGGACAGGTCAGAGTCTACTGTGGGAGAGATGGAGAGACAGAGAGGGGACAGGTCAGAGTCTACTGTGGGAGAGATGGAGAGACAGAGAGGGGACAGGTCAGAGTCTACTGTGGGAGAGAAGGAGAGACGGAGAGGGGACAGGTCAGAGTCTACTGTGGGAGAGATGGAGAGACAGAGAGGGGACAGGTCAAAGTCTACTGTGGGAGAGATGGAGAGACAGAGAGGGGACAGGTCAGAGTCTACTGTGGGAGAGAGGGAGAGACAGAGAGGGGACAGGTCAGAGTCCACTGTGGGAGAGATGGAGAGACGGAGAGGGGACAGGTCAGAGTCCACTGTGGGAGAGATGTAGAGACAGCGAGGGGACAGGTCAGAGTCTACTGTGGGAGAGATGGAGAGATGGTGAGGGGACAGGTCAGAGTCTACTGTGGGAGAGAGGGAGAGACGGAGAGGGGACAGGTCAGAGTCTACTGTGGGAGAGATGAGAGACAGAGAGGGGACAGGTCAGAGTCTACTGTGGGAGAGATGGAGAGACAGAGAGGGGACAGGTCAGAGTCTACTGTGGGAGAGATGGAGAGACAGAGAGGGGACAGGTCAGAGTCTACTGTGGGAGAGAGGGAGAGACGGAGAGGGGACAGGTCAGAGTCTACTCTGGGAGAGAGGGAGAGATGGAGAGTGGACAGGTCAGAGTCTACTGTGGGAGAGATGGAGAGACAGCGAGGGGACAGATCAGAGTCTACTGTGGGAGAGATGGAGAGACAGAGAGGGGACAGGTCAGAGTCTACTGTGGGAGAGATGGAGAGACAGAGAGGGGACAGGTCAGAGTCTACTGTGGGAGAGAGGGAGAGACGGAGAGGGGACAGGTCAGAGTCTACTGTGGGAGAGAGGGAGAGACGGAGAGGGGACAGGTCAGAGTCTACTCTGGGAGAGAGGGAGAGACGGAGAGGGGACAGGTCAGAGTCTACTGTGGGAGAGATGGAGAGACAGCGAGGGGACAGGTCAGCGTCTACTGTGGGAGAGATGGAGAGACAGAGAGGGGACAGGTCAGAGTCTACTGTGGGAGAGATGGAGAGACAGAAAGGGGACAGGTCAGAGTCTACTGTGGGAGAGAGGGAGAGACGGAGAGGGGACAGGTCAGAGTCTACTGTGGGAGAGAGGGAGAGACGGAGAGGGGACAGGTCAGAGTCTACTGTGGGAGAGATGGAGAGACAGCGAGGGGACAGATCAGAGTCTACTGTGGGAGAGAGGGAGAGACGGAGAGGGGACAGGTCAGAGTCTACTGTGGGAGAGATGGAGAGACAGCGAGGGGACAGGTCAGAGTCTACTGTGGGAGAGATGGAGAGACGGCGAGGGGACAGGTCAGAGTCCACTGTGGGAGAGATGTAGAGACAGCGAGGGGACAGGTCAGAGTCTACTGTGGGAGAGTTGGAGAGACGGCGAGGGGACAGGTCAGAGTCTACTGTGGGAGAGAGGGAGAAACGGAGAGGGGACAGGTCAGAGTCTACTGTGGGAGAGATGGCGAGACAGAGAGGGGACAGGTCAGAGTCTACTGTGGGAGAGATGGAGAGACAAAGAGGGGACAGGTCAGAGTCTACTGTGGGAGAGATGGAGAGACGGCGAGGGGACAGGTCAGAGTCCACTGTGGGAGAGATGTAGAGACAGCGAGGGGACAGGTCAGAGTCTACTGTGGGAGAGTTGGAGAGACGGAGAGGGGACAGGTCAGAGTCTACTGTGGGAGAGATGGCGAGACAGAGAGGGGACAGGTCAGAGTCTACTGTGGGAGAGATGGAGAGAGAAAGAGGGGACAGGTCAGAGTCGACTGTGGGAGAGATGGAGAGACAGAGAGGGGACAGGTCAGAGTCTACTGTGGGAGAGATGGAGAGACAGCGAGGGGACAGGTCAGAGTCTACTGTGGGAGAGATGGAGAGATGGCGAGGGGACAGGTCAGAGTCTACTGTGGGAGAGAGGGAGAGACGGAGAGGGGACAGGTCAGAGTCTACTGTGGGAGAGATGTCGAGACAGAGAGGGGACAGGTCAGAGTCTACTGTGGGAGAGATGGAGAGACAGAGAGGGGACAGGTCAGAGTCTACTGTGGGAGAGATGGAGAGACAGAGAGGGGACAGGTCAGAGTCTACTGTGGGAGAGATGGAGAGACAGCGAGGGGACAGGTCAGAGTCTACTGTGGGAGAGATGGAGAGACGGCGAGGGGACAGGTCAGAGTCTACTGTGGGAGAGAGGGAGAGACGGATAGGGGACAGGTCAGAGTCTACTGTGGGAGAGATGGAGAGACAGAGAGGGGAAAGGTCAGAGTCTACTGTGGGAGAGATGGAGAGACAGAGAGGGGACAGGTCAGAGTCTACTGTGGGAGAGATGGAGAGAGAGAGGGGACAAGTCAGAGTCTACTGTGGGAGAGAGGGACAGACGGAGAGGGGACAGGTCAGAGTCTACTGTGGGAGAGATGGAGAGACAGAGAGGGGACAGGTCAGAGTCTACTGTGGGAGAGATGGAGAGACAGAGAGGGGACAGGTCAGAGTCTACTGTGGGAGAGAGGGAGAGACAGAGAGGGGACAGGTCAGAGTCTACTGTGGGAGAGAGGGAGAGAGAGAGGGGACAGGTCAGAGTCTACTGTGGGAGATAGGGAGAGACGGAGAGGGGACAGGTCAGAGTCTACTGTGGGAGAGATGGAAGAGACGGAGAGGGGACAGATCAGAGTCTACTGTGGAAGAGAGGGAGAGACGGAGAGGGGACAGGTCAGAGTCTACTGTGGGAGAGATGGAAGAGACAGAGAGGAGACAGGTCAGAGTCTACTGTGGGAGAGAGGGAGAGACGGAGAGGGGACATTCCATAGTAAGTCCAATAGGCCTGCTCCACCTGACAACTTTTGACGAGCGTGAGCTGCTCCTATTCATTTTAATGAAGCCTGAGTGTCAGCTGGTTGAATTTTCAAGAATTCGTTGCCGATTTATTCAAGCGTATTTCATATTATCTAGTACACAACAACCATCATACCTTGACATAGGCAACAATCTTCAGAGAGATGGTAGCCAGGTACAGAGAGTTCATAACAAAGTCCATGAGGTTCCACCAGTCATGGATATAGTCCTGGAATCCTCCATCCCACATCTGTTTGATCTCTGTCCAGATGAAGCCTATAGGACAGAGAACAGACCAGCAGGGTTAATTATGTCCCAAATGGCATCATATCCCTTACAAAGTGCATTACTTTTGACCAGAGCCCTACGTAAATCCGTTTTGACCAGAGCCCTATGTAACTCACCCTATTCCCTACATAGTGCACTACTTTTGAAGAGGGCCTATGGGGGTCAAAAGTAGTGATCTAAATAGGGAATATGGTGCCATTTGGGACACAGACCTAGAGTTAGGGTTAGGGTTGTCATGTCTGTCTGACGCCCGGCAGAGCTAATCTATCATGTCTGTCTCACTTTTCTGATCTATGGCCACATTCCTCAGGTGAAGAGGGAGTGTTCAAATCAACTCAAATTGTATTTGTCACATGCGCTGAATACAACAGGTGTAGACTTAACCGTGAAATGCTTGCTTATGAGCCCTTCCAAACGATGCAGAGTTAAATAATTATAATAAAAATAAAATAGTAACACAAGAGGAATAAAATACACAAGAATGGAGCTACTGTATGTACAGGGAGTACCAGTACCAGATCAATGTGCAGGGGTATGAGGTATTTCAGGTAGATATGTACATGAAGGCAGGGCAAAGTGACTCGTTATGCATGTGTGTGTACAGATGTAGGATCTTAACTTGACCACTTTTTTGTTGTTGAGAATTTTCCAGCATTGCAGGAAATGCAAACTTGTAGTGTATTTGAGTTTTGAAAAGTATTCTAAAGTTTGTGATTTCCACTTTGAAATTGATTTGCCCTAACGTAAAATATATCAATCCCTACCAAAATGTCCATTCATTATAATCCACATAATCATTTACATTTCCTGTTGCTGCAGGATTATTTTCCTGCTGTAGCAATCTGGCTCAAATTAAGATCCTACGTCTGTATGTATGTTTGTGTTGTCGGTATGCGTGTTATGTGTCTGTTTCTATCTGTTTCGGAGCCTGTTAGTTCAAGAGCCGATGCTCCGGTACCATTTGCTGGACGGTATGTCTTGGGTAGCTGCTGTCTTTGGCAATTTTTCGGGCCTTCCTCTGACATCGCCTGATATAGAGGTCCTGGATTGCAGGGAGCTCGGCCCCAGTGACGTACAGGGCTGTCCACACTACCCTCTGTAGCGCTTTGCTATTGAGGGTGGTGCATTTGCCATATCAAGCGGTGATGCAGGACAGGTAGACAGTTATGAGCAGGTAGACAGGTAGCATACCCATGCATCCTGCCATGCGGTTGTACTGAACAGAACACCATAATGGGAGTTACATAGGAAACACATAGGCTGGGTTGTCTTACAATACAGTGTGCGTTCAATGCATGAAAACCAGCTGTAAAAGGTAGATAGAGTATTGGGCTGAAACACAAGCTTGGTTTCCACCATTTCCTGTCAGAATTGTCATCAACTAACATCATTAACATCAATAGCAGTTTACTTGGTATGTCTCAAATGACACTCTATTATCAGCTGACCTTCTGTGAAGTTGAAATCTTGTTATGTATCATAGTGCAGGAATAAAGCACTAGGGAGGGAGCAGCATGTGTCCGGGTCTTTCCTTTCTTGATCAGCACATCTACGCGCGCACACACACACTCTTACCCAGTACCCAGGGCAGTATCATCCATTCCACCACAGTAGGAGTCGGCCCCTGTCTGTTGGGGTCTGTAGAGACGATGTGCTGAGAGGCCAGCAGCAGCAGGAACAGGAAGGTGAGATACGACGTTGTGTGGCAGATAAACTTGATGAAGGGCTTCCTAATGATGAAGAAGAAGATTACTTTATTGTCCAACAGAAATTCAACTTCAGCTCCCTGACAGATTTTTCCCATCAGACCAGGGAAGCTCCCTGACAGATTTTTCCCATCAGACCAGGGATTCAAACTGGCAACCCTCTAGTTGCTGGCCTGCCTCTCTAACCTCTAGGCCACTTGCCTGATGAAGTATCCATAGCGGCTCTTAGGAGAGACCAGGTAGCAAAGGGAGAAGACGGGGAAGAGGAGGCCGATGAAGACACAGGTTAGGAATTTCCCTGCCCAGTGACGACGCCTCCACCCAGGGAATTCATCGTACCAACGAGACGCAAGCAACTGCTGACAGTTGGGCTGGGCTACAAACTGGAGGAGGGAGATTGAGGAGGAGGGGAGGGGAGAAGGGGGAGGGGAGGGGAGGGGAGGAAAGGAGAGAGAGAGAGGGAGGGAGGAAAAAGAGGAGGGAGAGAGGGATAGAGGAGGTATGAAGAGGGAGGGAGGGAGGGAGGGAGGGAGGGAGGGAGGGAGGGAGGGAGGGAGGGAGGGAGGGAGGGAAAGAGAGAGTGAATCAGCCTTTATGATACATTACTGATGAGTTGTTATTGGAGACCTGTGTGTCTAATGCAACTTCACAATGTTTACTATTCTTTCTCACTTGCTTTCCACTCCACATTGACAAACAACTGACACGAAAACAGGCACATCTTAAGCAAGCCTGGGCAGTTGGGTACAGCATACAGCATACTGACAGTTGGACAGTTGGACAGTTGGGCACAGCAGTAAACACACTCAGCTAATGGAGGAGGTCAATTGAGTTCCCAGATTACATTATGTGTGCATCCCAAATGACACTCTATGTGCCATTTGTGACGCAGTCAATGACTGTTCAGTCTGGTTTAGTCCAGCATCACCTCAAGCTGTTAATGACCTTAATGTGCATGATCATTCTGATGAGTGTTACCAGCTGTCCCTGGCCTGGTCCCAAGTGTCCCTCCCTGGCATCTCTGTTCCTCTCTAATATCCTCTTCACACACTGTTCTGCGCTGTGTCGGATGCTTTCTCTTCATATTGTCCTTGTCAGCACGGTTCCAGGAACTGTGGTGGATGTGTAACCAGACCATTACAGTTAGGCTCAACTAGGCTCAGTAGTGTGAAAAGGGTATGTCTCTCAGATCAGCCTCTGCTTACAAGGTTTGATAAGGAACACTCTATTAGTCTCAGGCACTATCTAAAACACTCTCTGTCTCAGTCGCTCTCTAACTGATGACCTCACTAATGACCTCATCCCCCACAATGCCCTGCTCTAAGTGATGGGGATCCATTTGGTTGTAATTTCTTTGTAATTCTGTTAGACTGAGATTAACCTCACCGTCACACAGAGCAGCGCAGATGTTCAGCAGATGGTTCTATCAAATCTCACAGAGACAAAAACATAATCATGTTTAATGAGGAACAGATTTGACAGACAGGCACTCTTTCAAACAGGAACATGGAGTTCTTTATAAATGTCTCTCTATGGAGACTTGAGTCTTATCTCTGTTCTATCCCTAACTCTAAAGCGATATAGCATGTTGTGTATTTTCCACAGTGTCATACTGTAAATGTCCATCTCATGGAAAGGGTTAAAAGTATTTAGCAATGAATTTGTGTTTTTTCTGCAGTTCTCAGTCCACTTCACTCTCTAGGTGAGAACATATGCAGTATCCACTTCTACTCAGGAGGGGGCAACATTTCACAACTTCCATTTCATAACCTTACTGTACCTGCTCATCTACAGTATCCGTAGCAGCAACCAAAAATAAACAAAACATTCACAATACAGTGCTGTACACTTAACATGAGACAATATTCCCACAAACTACTGACGGCATACAAGCCATGAGAAGAGCACAAAATGTCTGAACCCCACACACTATTTATTCCCTAGTTAGTGCACTACTATTAAATAGGGAATAGGGTGCCAAATGGGACGTGGCCAAGGTTGTTGTTTTCCTGTGCATGCTGCTTTCTGTGTAATTTAGATGTATTGTGAGTTAGTATCCCAAGGAAACATTCAGTCAGAGCATTATCATATTTGTAGCATCATTATTGATGTATCATTATGTTTCATTATGTTCCCATCAAGGGACTGGACAGCAGACTGAGTATTCAGACCCCTTGACTTTTTCCACATTTTGTTACGTTACAGCCTTATTCTAAAGTTGATTAAATCGTTTTTTTCACTTATCAATCTACACACAATACCCCATAATAACAAAGCAAAAACAGGTTTTTAGAAATGTTTGCAAATTTATTTAAAAAAATAAAAAACGGAAATATCACATTTACATAAGTATTCAGACCCTTTACTCAGTACTTTGTTGAAGCATCTTTGGCAGTGATTACTGCCTCGTGTCTTCATGTGTATGACGCTACAAGCTTGGCACACCTGTATATGGGGAGTTTCTCCCATTCCTTTCTGCAGATCCTCTCAAGCTCTGTCAGGTTGGATTGAGTGTTGCTGCACAGCTATTTTCAGGTCTCTCCAGAGATGTTTGATCGGGTTCAAGTCCAGGCTCTGGCTGGGCCACTCAAGGACATTCAGAGACTTGTCCCGTAAGCCACTCCTGTGTTGTCTTGGCTGTGTGCTTAGTGTTGTTGTCCTGTTGGAAGGTGAACCTTTGCCCCAGTCTGAGGTCCTGAGCACTCTGGAGCACGTTTTCATCAAGAATCTCTCTGTACTTTGCTCCGTTCAGCTTTGCCTCGATCCTGACTAGTCTCAAGTCCCTTCCGCTGAAAAACATCCCCACAGCATGATGCTGTCACCACCATGCTTCACCGTAGGGATGGTGCCAGGTTTACTCCAGACGTGACGCTTGGCATTCAGGCGAAAGAGTTCAATCTTGGTTTCATCAGACCAGAGAATCTTGTTTCTCATGGTCTGAGAGTCTTCAGGTGCCTTTTGGTAAACTCCAAGTGGGATGTCATGTGCCTTTTACTGAGAAGTGTTTTCCGTCTGGCCACTCTACCATAAAGGCCTGATTGGCGGAGTGCTGCAGAGATGGTTGTCCTTCTGGAAGGTTCCCCCATCTCCACAGAGGAATTCTAGAGCTCTGTCATAGTGACCATCGGGTTCTTGGTCACCTCCCTGACCAAGGCCCTTCTCCCCCGATTGCTCAGTTTGGCCGGGCGGCCAGCTCTAGGAAGAGTCTTGGTGGTTACAAACTTCTTCCATTTAAGAATGATGGAGGCCACTGTGTTATTGGGGACCTTCAATGCTGCAGACATTTTTTGGTAACCTTCCCCAGATCTGTGCCTCAACACAATCCTGTCTCGGAGCTCTACGGACAATTCCTTCGACCTCATGGCTTGGTTTTTGCTCTGACATGCACTGTCAACTGTGTGACCTTATATAGACAGGTGTGTGCCTTTCCAAATCATGTCCAATCAATTGAATTTACCACAGGTGGACTCCAATCAAGCTGTAGAAACATCTCAAGGATGATCAATGGAAACAGGATGTACCTGTGCTCAATTTCGAGTCTCATAGCAAAGGGTCTGAATACTTATGTAAATAAGGTATTTCTGTTTTTTATTTTTAATACATTTGCAAAGATTTCTAAAAACCTGTTTTTGCTTTGTCATTATGGGGTATTGTGTGTAGATTGATGAGGATTTTTTTTAGTTAATTCATTTTAGAATAAGGCTGTAACGTAACAAAATATAGAAAACGTAAAGGGGTCTGAATACTTTCCGAACGCACTGTATGTACAAAAGTATGTGGACACCCCTTCAAATGAGTGGATTCGGCTATTTCAGCCACACCCGTTGCTGACAGGTGTATAAAATCGAGCACACAGCCATACAATCTCCACAGACAAACATTGGCAGTAGATGGCCTTACATAGGATGCCACCTTTCTAACAAGTCAGTTCGTGCCCTGCTAGAGCTGCCCCGATCAACTGTAAGTGCTGTTGTTGTGAAGAGGAAACGTCAAGGAGCAACAACGGCTCAGCCGCGAAGTGGTAGGCCACACAAGCTCACAGAACGGGACCATCAAGTGCTGAAGAGCGTAGCTTTTTAAAAACCGTCTGTCCTACCAAGTTCCAAACTGCATCTGGAAGAAATGTCAGCACAAGAACTGTTCGTCGGGAGCTTAATGAAATGGGTTTCCATGTCCAAGCAGCCGCACACAAGCCTAAGATAACCATGTCCAATCCCAAGTGTCGGTTGGAGTGGTGTAAGGCCCGACGCCATTGGACTCTGGAGCAGTGGAAATGCGTTCTCTGCAGTGATGAATCGTGCTTCACCATCTGGTAGTCCGACGGACTACTCTGGGTTTGGCGGATGCCAGGAGAACGCTACAGTGGCTTGAGAAAGTATTCACCCCCCTTGGCATTTTTCCTATTTTGTTGCCTTACAACCTGGAATTAAAATGGATTTTTTGAGGGTTTGTATCATTTGATTTAAATAACATGCCTACCACTTTGAAGATATTTGTTATTGTGAAACAAACAAGAAATAAGACAAAAAAACTGAAAACTTGAGCGTGCATAACTATTCACCCCCCCCAAAGTCAATACGTTGTAGAGCCACCTTTTGCAGCAATTACAGCTGCAAGTCTCTTGGGGTATGTCTCTATAAGCTTGGCACATCTAGCCACTGGGATTTTTGCCTATTCTTCAAGACAAAACTGCTCCAGCTCCTTCAAGTTGGATGGGTTCCGCTGGTGTACAGCAATCTTTAAGTCATACCACAGATTCTCAATTGGATTGTGGTCTGAGCTTTGACTAGGCCATTCCAAGACATTTAAATGTTTCCCCTTAAACCACTCGAGTGTTGCTTTAGCAGTATGCTTAGGGTCATTGTCCTGCTGGAAGGTGAACCTCTGTCCCAGTCTCAAATCTCTGGAAGACTGAAACAGGTTTCCCTCAAGAATTTCCCTGTATTTAGCACCATCCATCATTCCTTCAATTCTGACCAGTTTCCCAGTCCCCTGCCGATGAAAAACATCCCCACAGCATGATGCTGCCACCACCATGCTTCACTGTGGGGATGGTGTTCTCGGGTGATGAGAAGGATGACTTTTCTACTATTCCAGGTATTCCTTAAAGAGGTAGGGTTTCTTCTCCACAACTTTGTCCCTGACCTGTTTGGAGAGCTCCTTGGTCTTCATGGTGGACACCAGTCTTGCTTGGTGTCCTCCCGAGTGGCGCAGTGGTCTAAGGCAGTGCTAGCTGTGCTACTAGAGATCCTGGTTCGAATCCAAGCTCTGTCGTAACTGACCGGGAGACCCATGGGGCGGCGCACAATTGGCCCAGCGTTGCCCAAGGTAGGGGATGGAATGGCTGGCAGGGATGTAGCTCAGTTGGTATGGCATTTGCAACGCCAGGGTTGTGGGTTTGATTCCAGTATAAAAAATTAAAAGGTATGCACTCACTGACTGTAAGTCGCTCTGGATAAGAGCATCTGCTAAATGACTTAAATGTAAATGGTGCCCCTTGCTTAGTGGTGTTGCAGACTCTGGGGCCTTTCAGAACAGGTGTATATATACTAAGATCATGTGACACTTAGATTGCACACAGGTGGACTTTATTTAACTAATTATGTGACTTCTGAAGGTAATTGGTTGCACCAGATCTTATTTAGGGGCTTCATAGCAAAGGGGGTGAATACATATGCACGCACCACTTTTCCGTTATTTATTTTGTAGAATATTTTTAAACAAGTTATTTTTTTCATTCCACTTCACCAATTTGGACTATTTTGTGTATGTCCATTACATTAAAGCCAAATAAAAATAAATTTAAATTACAGGTTGTAATGCAACAAAATAGGAAAAACTCAAAGGGGGATGAATACTTTTGCAAGGCACTGTACCTGCCCAAATGCATACTACCAACTGTAAAGTTTGGTTGAGAAGGAATAATGGTCTGGAGCTGTTTTCCATGGTTTGGGCTAGTGAAGGGAAATCTTAACGCTACAGCATACAATGACATTCTAGACGATTCTGTGCTTCCAACTTTGTGGCAACAGTTTCGGGAAGGCCCTTTCCTGTTTCAGCATGACAACGCCTCAGTGCACAAAGCGAGGTCCATACATAAATGTTTTGTCGAGATTGGTGTGGAAGAACTTGACTGGCCTGCACAGAGCCCTGACCTCAACCCCATCGAACACCTTTGGGATGAACTGGAATGCCGACTGCGAGCCAGGACTAATCGCCCAACATCAGTGTCCAACCTCACTAATGCTCTTGTGGCTGAAAAGAAGCAAGTCGCCGCAGCAATGTTCAAACATCTAGTGGAAAGCTTTCCCAGAAGTGTGGAGGCTGTTAAAGCAGAAAACAGGGGACCAACTACATATGAATGCCCATGATTTTGGAATGAGATGTTTGACGAGCAGGTGTCCACATACTTTTGGTCATGTAGTGTAGCTCCAGTAATGTGTTGTTTCACTAAGGAAGGATGCCATTTTCAGACACAGCCTGGTGATTACCACATAATTACAACTCCCATAGGAAGTCTCCACCCAAATCCGGCCATCTACTACTTCTTAATCCTATTTTAGAGATAACAGCAGAAGTTAGCTTCATGCTTTATCCTCTGAAATACAACATGTAAAATCCTCAGCTGTACCAAAGACATTGGGCGGGAGATTCACCTGGCCAAGCTTCAACATGCAGAAAAATGACAATAAACATAGGTTCCTGAGGAAACATGAATTATATCTTACCTCTTTCTGTCTGTATTTGATAGCCAGTTTGAGTCTGGCCAGGTCATTGGTGTTCTCATCAAGTATAGGGTTGATGTCATCTCTGTAGTTCAGGATCAGCTCTAGTTCTCTGGAGCTCCTGGTTTGGTCCAACAGGTCCTTGGCAAACTGTTTACACTGCTGAGATAACTCCTCATACTCCGACATAAACTCATTCTCCACCTGAAACAGTCAGAAACTGTTAGTTAATAGTCAATAAACCAGTTAAAAACTCTTTATAAAGCATCTATACTGCTAGGACAACTCCTTATACTCTGACATAAACTCTTTCTCCACCTGAAACAGGAATAAACTGTTAGTTAAAAGTCGAGCACAAATAAACACTGTTATGGAACACCGTCCATCTCCTAAAAGGCAGAAGATTGGTGTCAGTGGCACTCTCTTGTGGAAGCCTTATGTTCCACATAAGAATTAACTAAGTAAATAAATACTCCATAAACTGCTTATAAAGTACACTGCTGAGACAACTCCTCACTCTTCTTTGACTCAAACTCATCCTCCAGCTCAATTTATTTTAATTTAATAAACTTAGCAAATAGCTGTTAAAAACTCCACCTTGCTGAGCTCCTGTAGTTCCCAGGAGAGCTGGAAGGCTGTGAGGAAAGGGTCTTCACTGGAGAGGGCCACGAGTGATGGGCTGGCAAGGGCCTTGTAGATGTTGAGACGAGAGCGGGAGTGACGCAGACTATCCACATCAGAGCTGGACACACACTCCATGCAGTTACAGCGCACCTGGAACACACACCGGTACTGGAGAGTTAGTGGAGGGAGGGCAGTATTGTAACTATCATACTGTACTCTACTATTGTATCATACTGTATAGTGTAGTGTAGCCTGCTGTGACTATTGTACTGTACTACATTACATACTATATCATACCGTAGCATGTAGTACTTTATCATTTACCATAGTGCTACACCATAGTGTAGCATATATCCTGATTCAGACCCACCTCATGTGGCTGGGGCACGGACACCCCCTTCTGCACCAGCAGTTTGATGATCTCATAGTTGTTGGTGTGAGCTGCCAGGATGATGGGTGTGATGTCAGGAGTGAAGTCAGAGAACTGCTTGTCCAATAGGATGGGAGGAACCTGGAGAGAGGGCGGGGAAGAGATAAATATGGGTTATAGTCAGATAGGGATTATGATGGGCAAGAGACAAAAGATGTGTTCAATCCAGATATCGATTGAGGAAGGAAAAATGAATTAGACAAAACTGAATTCATAACAACATCGTAGGTATTATCAATATCAATACCATAGTGTTTCCTTTATGAACCAATACAATAGATCTACATGGTTTAGGTTTTACTTGAGGATAAGCTGTGTGTGTGTGTGTGTGTGTGAGTGTCTGTGTGTGTGTGTGTGTGTTTGTTGATTACAGAGGCCCAGCTGCTCTATTACAGAGGCCCAGCTGCGCGAGGATCTGTTTTAGGACCACTATTGTTTCACTATATATACTCTACCTTTTGGTGATGTCATTCGGAAACACAATGTCAACATTCACTGCTATGCAGACGACAGACAGCTGTACATTTCGATGAAACATGGAGAAGCCCCAAAAATGGCCTACCCTGGAAGACTGTGTTTCAGACATATGGAAGTGGATGGCAGCACATTCTTTACTTTTAAACTCGGACAAAACAGAGATGCTGGTTATAGGTCCCAAGAAACAAAGAGATCTGCTGTTTGATATGACAATTAATCTCAATGGTTTTACAATCGTCTCAAATAAAACTGTGAAGGATCTTGGTGTTACTCTGTACCCTGATCTCTCTTTTGACTAATATTTCAAGAGCAGCTTTTTTTCATCTTCGTATCATTGCAAAAATCTGAAACGTTTTGTCCAAAAATGTGCCGAAAAGCTAATCCATGCTTTTGTCACTTCAAGATTAGACTACTGCAGTGCTCTACTCTCTGGCTACCCAGATAAAGCACTAAACAAACTTCAGCTATTGTTAAATACGGCTGCTAGAATCTTGACTAGAACCCCCCAAAGAATATCATATTACTCCAGCGCTAGCCTCTGGCTTCCTGTTAAGGCTAGGGCTGATTTCAAGGTTTTACTGATAACCTACAAAGCATTACATGGACTTGCTCCTACCTATCTCTCCAATATGGTCCTGCCATACATACCTACACGTACGCTACAGTCACAAGACGCAGGCCTCTTTATTTTTCCTTGAATTTCTAAGCTAACAGCTGGAGGCAGGGCTTTCTCCTATAGATCTACATTTTTATTGAATGGTCTGCTGATCCATGTGAGAGACACAGACTAGTTCTCAACCTTTAAGTCTTTACTGAAGACTCATCTCTTCAGTAGGTCCTATGATTGAGTAATGTCTGGCCCAGGGGTGCGAATGTGAATGGCAAGGCACTGGAGTGACGAACCACCCTTCCTGTCTATGCCTGGCTGGCTCCCCCTCTCCACTGGGATTCTCTGCCTCTGACCCTATGAGTCACTGGCTTGCTAGTGCTCTCCCATGCCGTCCCTAGAAGGGGTGCATCACATTGAATATCGCTATACTCGACTTGAGTGGGTTGAGTCACTGACGTGATCTTCCTGTCCGGTTTTGCGCCCCCCTCGGGCTCTTGTGGTAAGGGAGTTCTTTGCGGTAAGGGAGATCTTCGTGGGCTATATTCCACCTTGTCTCAGGGTAATAAATTGGTAGTCTGTTGATATCCCTCTGGTAGTGTGGGGGCTGTGCTTTGGCAAAGTGGGTGGGGTTATATCCTGCCTGGTTAGCCCTGTCCCGGGGTATCGTCGGACGCGGCCACAGTGTCCCCCGGCACCCCCGCCCCTGTCTCAGTCTCCAGTATCTATGCTGCAGTAGTCTATGTGCAAGGGGGCTAGGGTCAGTCTGTCCTATCTTGTGTAATTCTCCTGTCTTATCTGGTGTCCTTTGTGATCTTAAATAATGTATGCTCCCTCTAATTCTTCCATCTCTCTTTCGCTCTCTCTCTCCTCCCGGAGGACCTGAGCCCTAGGACAATGTCTCAGGACTACCTGGCTTGACGACTCCTGGCTGTCCCCGTCCCCAGTCCACCTGGTCGTGCTGCTGATCCAGTTTCTGCTGTTCTGCCTGCAGCTATGGAACCCTGACCTGCTCACTGGACGTGCTACCTTTTCTCTCCCTCTCCCTCTCTCTCTCTCTACCGCACCTTCTGTCTTAACCTCTGAATGCTCAGCTATGAAAAGCCAACTGACATTAATTCCTGAGGTGCTGATCTGTTGCACCCTCTATAACCACTGTGATTATTATTTGTCCCTGCTGGTCATCTATGAACATTTGAACATCTTGAAGAATGATCTGGCCTTAATGACCATGTACTCTTATAATCTCCACCGGACACAGCCAGAAGAGGACTGGCCACCCCTCAGAGGTTTCTTCCTAGGTTCCTACCTTTCTAGGGAGTTTTTCCTAGCCACCATGCTTCTACATATCTGTATTGCTTGCTCTTTGAGGTTTTCATCTGGGTTTCTGTAAAAGCACTTTGTGACATCTGCTTTATAAATCAATTTGATTGATTGATTAACAGGGTCGAATCATTTAATGTGCGTCCCAAATGGCACCATCATAGGGCTCTGGTCAAAAGTAGTGTACTATATAGGGTATAGGGTGCCATTTGTGATGCAACCACAGTCTAATTGGTCTGCCTCTGGGAGGAGATGATAAGGAAGAGGCACTTGAGTGACCACTTCACTTACAGTATGAGGAAATACTAGCTAACAGGATTACATTACTGTTCCCTTTATCACAACAACTCAGAACCACAGGTCTTCTTGTCATTGATTCCTGATGCTCCTGATGGTGTGCGTGCATTCGTGTGTGGTCCAGATGACGTGTTTGCATAACAATGTGATGTTGAAACAATGACTAGCATCACTGCCAGTTAGGTCATGCTGTTGAGATGGAGTCTGACCTTATTATCACTATCTCTAATCTCCCTCAGAAGAGATGGAGAAAGAGAGGTGGAGATACAGTAGAGAGATGCCACGGTCTCCTCTGATAGAAAGATGAGAGGGTGCAAATACACTCTTCTATTACACTCCTCTCTCGCTCCTCTTCCTCTCTCCTCTCTCTCTCTCTCTCTCTCATCTCTCTCTCTCTCTCCTCTCTCATCTCTCTCTCTCTCTCTCTCCTCCCTCTCCTCCTCTCCCTCTCTCTCTCTCTCTCTCTCCTCTCTCTCTCACTCGTCTCTCTCTCTCTCTTCTCCTCATTCCTCTCTCGTCCATTCTTCTCTCTCCTCTTCCCTCGCTCTCTCTCAGCTCTCTCTCCTCATCTCCTCTCCCTCCTCTCTCTCTTCTCTCTCTCTCTCTCCCTCTCTCCTCGGTATGGAGCGGACATAATGTTAATTCAGATGTCAATACAGTAATGGGGTATCTAGACTATGGTCCTCTATAGCTAACCGCAGGGTTGGCTCTATGGCTTTCGTGTCCATACTACTGAAAAGGGCCCTCAGTTGTTTATATGAAAAGAGATGTTAAATCCAAAAAGAGTTTTCAAGAGCAAGCAGATCTGGTGCCTGTGGGAGTTTTTCTTTGAACGTCCTTGAAAAATGTGTGTTTGAGACGTGTTCCAGCCCCCATAGACTTCTCTGTAATTGTGTGTGTGTGTGTGTGTGTGTGTGTGTGTGTGTGTGTGTGTGTGTGTGTGTGTGTGTGTGTGTGTGTGTGTGTGTGTGTGTGTGTGTGTGTGTGTGTGTGTGTGTGTGTTTCTGTGTCAGACCTACTGTATTCTGTTCTATTTCTGTCCTTTGTTTTAAAACTAGCTAAAACATATATGTAACCTTGATAATGCATGCTGTAACTTGATACATTTGTATGCATTTCAGGACTGTGTATGTCTTCCGGTTACATTTCATGTTGTATTTTTGGCCATCTGCAAACGAGAGTAATAGTCACACTAACATTTATTTTTTCAAGATTAAATAGCCTAATATCATAATTCAAGATATTGTATAATTTGTTGGGGGAAATGTTGCCTGGTCGTTTCTATGATGGCCACAGCCCCACTCTCACTTGTGCGCTCTTGAGTTAGGTCTAATTATGACATGACAATATTGTTACTGTTTTAAAAACGTGCACAGCTGCTTAATACTTGTTCGCAGGTGCCCAATTATCTGTGTAATTCGAGTGAAGATATTTTCCTTCAGTTTGTGCATTTATTTCTAATGCTTTGAGTATGTCTTTGTGTGTTGCCGCTTCTTGGAGCTCCCTCGCTCCCCACCCACATATGTGTACTCTCCCCTTCAGAGCATACAGAACACTGCCAAATAGAAGTACCTTGAGCTCCCTCACAGGTGGCTTTGCCAGTGTTCTGTAAGTTCTGATGGGGAGTGTGTCCATATGTGTGTAGGCTGTAGGCCCATTTTGTTGTCATAGTACCCACAGCTTGTTTCCTAATGCCAGTAGGAAAGTTCAGTTTGATTTTGATTACATTTTTGTAGACACTCCAGAGCGACTTACAGGAGCAATTGGGGTTAAGCGCCTTGCTCAAGGGCACAGACAGATTTTTGACCTAGTCGGCTCAGGGATTTGAACCAGTGACCTTTTGGTTACTGTCCCAAGGCTCTTAACCACTAGGCTTATTTTTGTTCCTAGTTTGTTTGTTTTTGCCTATCTTCCCAACATGTTTATTTATTCTGCCATCACTACCGTTACTTTGATAAATGTTTATAATATGCCATTTAGCAGACGCTTTTATCCAAAGCGACTTACAGTCACGTGTGCATACATTTTTACGTATGGGTGGCCCCGGGGATCGAACCCACTACCTTGGCGTTACAAGCACCATGCTCTACCAATTGAGCTACAGAGGACTGCCTGCCTGCCCTTAGGACCGGTAAGAACATGTAACCTTTTCACAGTTTCACATAATAAGATGTTGTCAATAGGCTACAGATATATCACTGTATACACGAATCAGTAGCCTATACAGATGAAAGACAGTACCTGCCTATTGACTCATTTGCTATAGTGATCAACAGAAATGTAAATCAGATGATTAACATATCACTAAGAGAGTGTATAAATGAACAGACTGTAAATAGAGAAATCACAGGAGGGCTAGGAGATGTGGTGAGGACGATCTAGTCTAGTGGATCAGCTGTGATTTAAATAAAGCGATTAGCAGAGTAAAACTTTCTCTTTCAGACCTCAGGGAGCCCCTGTCTGTTTTAGCGTACCTCTGTTCACCTGTTCATGGCTCAAGTCTCAATGGCACCCTATTCCCTATATAGAGCACTAATTTTGATAAGGGACTATAGGGTAGTGTGCACTAAATATGGAATAGGGTGCCATTTTGGGATGCAACCAAGATCAACACAGAGGGAAGTGAAGAGGCAATTATACTGTAAGAATTATGGTTCAAATATCCAGAGTGCAAGTGTATGTGGAAAATGTGTAAATTGCCCATAGTAGCATATCTCACTGCTGTTCTGAGAGAACCAGTTAATTAGAGTAGACCAACACATACAGAGAAATAAGTGAAAAGGAATTATGTGCAGAAGCAAGAGATGTGAGGAGGAAGAATATGTAATTCACAAACATTATATGGTTCAAATATCCAGTGTGTAATAGCATGGAGAAACATTTCTAAATTGTACATTAACATTTTGTCCTTGTAGCTCTCAGTTGAAAGTTAGGGTTTAATTTTCCACCGAGTCCTCCAACCAGGGGATAGGGGGGTAGGGGCATTATATTTAAAAAAAGGTGGGGGGGGATTAGAAATGTTGCAAGTAATGTTATTTGATAGACTTAAATCTGCTAATTTCATAGCTGATCTATCCCCTTAAAAATTAAATATGGTTGAAGTAATCCTTATACAGTAGGAATGAGTATGTGCCTGGGAGGGCATGGTGTAGTGTAATGCATAGGAAACACAAGAAGAGGGCATATAGTAGAGACTGTTCTATGTCAACATGTGAGGTCTAAGGCCTTTTTCAAGACCAATCTGATTGTAAAGCAGATAGCCTATTGGTATGTGATAACAAAAGGACAGTGTGCTGTGCTGTATGCAGGTGAATGTAGGCTAGTCACCCCTCCACCAAGTGACCATAGCCAACACTCAACAACAGGGTGCCATTTGGGAAGCACCCTGTAACTGTCCTACCTGTTTCTCCCCACTGGGCTTCTTGTGGTTGAGCAGCAGTTCCACGGCCCCCACCACCTCTTTACGGATGGCGTGTAGCAGAGCGTCACCGACACACACGTTATAGGTGAGCAGCAGCTCAATAATCTCCAGGTTCTCATTCTCTATAGCGATCAGCAGAGCTGTGCGGCCCAACGGGTCTATACAGTTAATGTTGATCCGGAAGTAGATCTCTGCCTCCTACAGGCGGGAGGGGGAATGACAATGGATGATTATTTAGTTTTATGGTATCCCTCGTATGCCCCTCCCCCTCCCTTCTCCGCCCTCCCTCCCCGCCCTCCCGCGGCCCTCCCTCCTGCCCTCACCTCCCGTCCCTCCCTCCCGCGCGTTCTCTCCCTCCCTTCACTCCCTCCCTTCCTCCCGCCCTTGCTCCTACCCTCCCTCCACTCCACCAAAGTCGCACTCCTCCATCCCTTCCCCCGCCCTCCAGTCCATCCCTCCCATCCTTCACCCTCCTTCATCACCCCCTTCATCCCTCCCTCCAGTCCCTACCCGCCTCCCCCTCCCCCCGCATCCCGCCCCCCTCCTCTTCATCTCCTCCTCCGCACCAATCTTCCTCTCCCGACCACTCTCCGACCCTTCCCTTCCTTCCCTTCCCCATCCCCCTCCCTCCCCCCTCCCTCCCTCCTCTCTCCCTCCTCCCTCTCCTCTATTCAGATCTACTCTCCCTCCCTCATTCCTCCTCCACTTCCCGTCCTCCCTCCCTCCCCTCTTCTCATCCCTCCTCCCCTCCTCCCTCCCTCCCTCCCTACCCTACACTAGGCTTTTGACGGGCATAGTTCTTTCTCTCCTCTCCCTGTTCCCTCTCCTGCCAGACTTTCACACGCCTTACTCCTCAGGGATCCGGTCCCTGTAGGAGGAGTTGTCTGTCCTCCGGTAGTACAGTTGAGACATCACTGCTACTGCTAGGCAATCTCACTCACCTAGACAGGTTAGATTAGATAACATTGGTTACCCCTAATCTACATTTTGGGGAGGCAGTGGACAGAGACAGAGACACAGATCAGTAATGGTTGGGTGAATGGTTTGGTTGCTAGTAGGAAAGCTACTTAATGCAGACTGGACTCACTGGACACACATTTGGTATTTTACGTACATCTTTGCACCTCCAATAAGTATGGTATGGTTTTTTGTGTCCATATTTGTATTTATGTTGTCATTTTTTCATTTGGGGGGGTACCAAGGGGAGGCAGGTAGCTTAGTGGTTAAGAGCGTTGTGCCAGTAACCGAAAGGTCTCTGGTTCTAATCCCCGAGGCGACTAGGTGAAAAATCTGTCGATGTGCCCTTGAGCAAGGCACTTAACCTTAATTGCTCCTGTAAGTCGCTCTGGATAAGAGCGTCTGCTAAATAACTAAAATGAAAAATACAAATTAATATATCTTCAATTGCATATTCAGATCATGTTTATTTGTGGGCTGCCACTCCAAAATAAAAATAAAACGTTTTTAAAAGGTACATAAATACAAAGTATTGATCATTATGATCATATTAAAGAGTTAAAAAGTAATAATACATTTAGTATGTAAAGGAAAAGAAACAAAAAGAGGTGAGCCTCCAACCCCAACCTCCCATCCCATTCCCACAACCCCACCCAACCAACATGTCTCCATGTCTTTTACATAAATTATCCATGTCATTATTCTCCTAACCACCAACGTAAATTCTCCCTGTAATTATCCTTTGTTGTCACCACGCACAAAGCAACCTGGTCTCAGAGAAAGACATGTAATACTATATGTCTTCCAAATATCTCAAGTTAGGTCATCCAAATTTGTACATACTATACGTCCTGTAATTCATAGGATATTGTACGACTGCTATTCCATTCATAATGTAATGTGTAATACTAAATTGAGTGTATCAGATTTACATACCAAATCTTACTAATTGCCCTGAGGCCAGGTTGATTTATTCCAATGTTCTTGGCAGTAAAGCAAAAATCCAGCGAATCTAAATCAACAAAAATCCAGAGGCTAACAATAAAGTCAGCAAAGCAATTATATACATTTGCTGGATAACATAAGTATTTATTAGTTTATTATCAAATTAGTATGATATCAACTACTGGTAATAACTGAATTTGGGTAAAGCCATTAATTTCCTCAAACGTTCAATGTGGTTGTTCGCAGATCATCCCATCAATGCCGATAGACTATACAAACGCATTATACACGTAAGCAAAAACACACAGCTAAACTTACCCTCTCAGTCCTGTACGTTTTGACTATGACATTTGATTGTCAAAAAATTAAACACCTCTCTTCCATTAATTTACACATATAGGCCTACAACAGGTATTATGTGGGTTGCAGAACAGAAATAGGACGAAGAAAAACTATTCCACCTTGTTCCTTTGGGTATTCCAGTTGACAGAAGTAGCCTATCCTGAATAAGGAGCCTAAAACAACAACGTTATAATTAGAGCAAGGTCTTCCTCTCTGTTCGCGATAAAAGATGGTTGTATAAATTTTAATATTGCAGAATTTCCTACATAATTCCATGAGAATTCTCTGGACTCATAACCATTCGATTCAGTAGGTGTGATCTTGGGGAAAAAATATTTGTTAAAGTGTAAGAAATCCACCCTCGATCAAAACATTCGCAAACACGCAATCAAGTCCACTGGAGACGCACGCATCCTCTTCGCTGCCTCCAGCTTCGCGCGCTCTTCCGTTGATAGACTACAGGAGCATCTCGTGACTCAGTAGGAGTGTGTATGGTCGCAGAAGAAAAGCAATCCACTATCAGCCTTTGAGATGCATGTCCATGTGAATTGATTGATTGATTTAATTATTTTATAATTAAACATAAAAGCTTGTTCCAGCCAGAGACAACATTACATATGGCAACATTGCAGGGAATATCCAAACCACTGCAAATTAAACACAACGACCCTTTTCTAATTTAACACCTTTTCCAATAAATTTAGAGGAGGAAAAACACAAGGTTGAAATATCTCATGAGGTGTAACAGGTGGCATTGAATTTGCCATGGGAGATTGATGCAGCTGATGTAGTGAATAACCTTATGCTGCACCAGACACTTCAATAACTTCATTAGGCTCCATCTGAATAAAGTAGAACTAAGAGAATTGCGATGGCTTTCAAATTAGAGCCTCTGAATAGGGTTATGAAGACTGAACAGAGAGGATGGAGAAGGCAGGACTGTAGAACATTCCTGAGGGAACTTAGTACTGTAAATAATGTTGTAAATTCCCTTGTCAGCCAGGTGATGTTCATCCTGAAGCAAACAGTGAGACAGACACTAACCTCAGTGAAGGAGGACAGGGGCTGAACATAGTGCTACATTTACCATGGGTCTGACAGTTTAACACACGTTCGTGCTGAACAGTTGTCTTTATCACATTAGAGGAGAACTGAAGAGGTGTAGTTGACTTTAATTGAATTAATATTAATCATCTGATTGAGTTGCATTCAATTAGTTTAGTTAGGAGGACTGAGAAACAGAAGGAATTGTGTTAGGACTAATGAACTTCCTGATATTGGAACTTTAAGTTGGGGACATGCAACATTTATGTGCTGTGCAGTGTGTCCTCAAATGTTCAGAATTATTTGTCAGTTTTTATAATCCTTACAGCATTTACCATCAGCATGTACTGTAGATGTGCTCACAGTCTTAGTGAACATCTAAGAGCAACTCATCAAGTCCCTACAAGATCAAACTGGATAAGCTTTTCTATAGAAACAACTTATATAAGATGAAACACTGTATAACCAATCCTTACAGTATACAGTTTGGTCCAGCATAATTAATAGACTGCTTTGTTTTACAAGCTCTTGTAAACATAAGGCAACATTAGGTTTTGTTCTCCTCACTATCAGCACTGACAGTGAGAAAGAGCAGAGGCACGAGTTGTGAATATTTCCCATCAGCCAGGCAGCAGGGCCAGGATTCTGCACACTGCACAGCTTCAAAAACTAAGGACAGTCAGGAGGACAGGACAGAGCAGACCCAGAGTTGGTGAAAATGTCCCATTGTCAAGACGATGCTTCATGTCTTTAAATAAGCTGAGAGAGGATAGGAGTGGACAGGAGAGGGAAGTTGATGTGGGACATGCTCCATCTCTTGGACTGACTCTTTTATACAGTGAGGGAAAAAAAGTATTTGATCCCCTGCTGATTTTGTACGTTTGCCCACTGACAAAGAAATGATCAGTCTATAATTTTAATGGTAGGTACATTTAAACAGTGAGAGACAAAATAACAACAAAAAAATCCAGAAAAACGCATGTAAAAAATGTTACAAATTGATTCGCATTTTAATGAGGGAAATAAGTATTTGACCCCCTCTCAATCAGAAAGATTTCTGGCTCCCAGGTGTCTTTTATACAGGTAACGAGCTGAGATTAGGAGCACACTCTTAAAGGGAGTGCTCCTAATCTCATCTTGTTACCTGTATAAAAGACACCTGTCCACAGAAGCAATCAATCAATCAGATTCCAAACCCTCCACCATGGCCAAGACCAAAGAGCTCTCCAAGGATGTCAGGGACAAACAAGATTGTAGACCGAAACAAGGCTGGAATGGGCTACAAGACCATCGCCAAGCAGCTTGGTGAGAAGGTAACAACAGTTGGTGCGATTATTCGCAAATGGAAGATACACAAAATAACTGTCAATCTCCCTCGGCCTGGGGCTCCATTCAAGATCTCACCTCGTGGAGCTGCAATGATCATGAGAACGGTGAGGAATCAGCCCAGAACTACACGGGAGGATCTTGTCAATGATCTCAAGGCAGCTGGGACCATAGTCACCAAGAAAACAATTGGTAACACACTACGCCGTGAAGGACTGAAATCCTGCAGCGCCCGCAAGGTCCCCCTGCTCAAGAAAGCACATATACAGGGCCGTCTGAAGTTTGCCAATGAACATCTGAATGATTCAGAGGAGAACTGGGTGAAAGTGTTGTGGTCAGATGAGACCAAAATCGATCTCTTTGGCATCAACTCAACTCGCCGTGTTTGGAGTAGGAGGAATGCTGCCTATGACCCCAAGAACACCATCCCCACCGCCAAACATGGAGGTCGAAACATTATGCTTTGAGGGTGTTTTTCTGCTAAGGGGACAGGACAATTTCACCGCATCAAAGGGACGATGGACGGGGCCATGTACCGTCAAATCTTGGGTGAGAACCTCCTTCCCTCAGCCAGGGCATTGAAAATGGGTCGTGGATGGGTATTCCAGCATGACAATGACCCAAATCACACGGCCAAGGCAACAAAGGAGTGGCTCAAGAAGAATCACATTAAGGTCCTGGAGTGGCCTAGCCAGTCTCCAGACCTTAATCCCATAGAAAATCTGTGGAGGGAGCTGAAGGTTCGAGTTGCCAAACGTCAGCCTCGAAACCTTAATGACTTGGAGAAGATCTGCAAAGAGGAGTGGGACAAAATCCCTCCTGAGATGTGTGCAAATCTGGTGGCCAACTATGAGAAACGTCTGACCTCTGTGACTGCCAACAAGGGTTTTGCCACCAAGTACTAAATCATGTTTTGCAGAGGGGTCAAATACTTATTTCCCTCATTAAAATGCAAATCAATTTATAACATTTTTGACATGCGTTTTTCTGGATTTTGTTGTTATTTTGTCTCTCACTGTTCAAATAAACCTACCATTAAAATTATAGACTGATCATGTCTTTGTCAGTGGGCAAATGTACAAAATCAGCAGGGGATCAAATACTTTTTTCCCTCACTGTAAGTTCCTCTCCCACAGCCCTGTCAGAGGCAGTAGGAG